GTGTAGGAACTGGGAGCTGTTGAAGAGATTACCAACAAAAACCAGTGGGTCGGCATGTATCATTGGGGAGGTAAGCAAGAAATACTCCAGACAAATTCGGGTTCCTCAGTACACACATGTTTACTAGAGCTCCTGAAACATGAACATCTGGAACCTTGAATGTTTGGAAACTAGGGTTTCACATTTTGCTTGGATTCAGTAAAACCGAATAAAACCAAGGATGCTATCCCAAACAATCAGGCGGCTGGTGGCTACACAGGCAAACCCAACTGTTCTGTATCGAAGTGGTCAGCCAGGACATGAATATCTACAAGAAAAGTGCTGAAGATGACCGCAATGATTTTGGGGTTCCAGGTCAAATTTTTGGGATCTAAGTCTGCGCACGATATCCCTCAAAACTTCGAAAGGGAAGGCATCGGCCCTGTCCTTGGGAGTTCCGCACTCCACCACTTTCCCGTCACGCATGCAAATGATGCGGTGCGCGTTGCGGATTGTACCTGTGGTTCATTTGCAACGAGTGTTGGTGGCAGCCAGAAGGGCGCGACTTTTGATTAGACAAATGCTGTCACGGCCCATTTGATGGAAAAAAGAAGCAAACGCTTATATGGTTGGTGGTTTCAACCCCTCTGAAAAATATCAGTCAGTTGGGATGATTGTTCCTAATATAAAAAATGTTCCAAACCACCAACCAGGTTATGTAGGTAGTGGATTGGTCACTGGGTTGTACAATTAATTCAATTGTACTCCGCCAAGTTCATCCCACAACATGTTAAAGCCTTGAACGCACAAAGCTCAAATGGTTGCCTTTTGAACGGAATGTCCTGTGATGTGGAGCGGCAACAAACCGATTCAGATACATGAAAGTCAGTCTGTTCAAAGCCGTTCTATGCCTACGTCTTTATGGGTCTGTCTCAAAATATCACCCGAGTTTGCAATTTTGATACAGGAATATACAGGGAGCAATTGCAACATATTATGGTATTACGACAAGCCATGGTTTGGGACAACTAACTACTCAATCTTGGGATGGATATCAAGATCAGACTATGAAGATCAGAGTTGGAGATTAGTCACCTTAATGACCCCACACGCAAAACTCTCGGACAGGGCACTCAATCTGTGAGCGATCACCAGGGTGGTTCGCCCAAGCATCACGGTGTCCAAGGCATCCTAGCGTGACCCGCTCTTACAAAGACCCCAACTGGCTTGCAATTTGTGTACAAATCCTTAACGATGCCATCCATGTCTTTGACAATGTGGCTATAGACCTGGGAATTCAACGTATCACATTGTCACATAGCTACCAGCTATACCAACACATGGACAAAGGTACATAAGAGTAGAAGCTGGATCGCATATAAGGCAACTTTTAACCCAAATCACCAGAACCAAACCTTATATTTGCAAACAGCGTATGAACGGTAGGTTCACAATATGCATATGTATAATGTTAATGTATTGTACATCATCATTCATGTGTAAATGTAGGTGTATACCGAAATAATGTGCTTGTGTCACCGCATATATAGTTGCGAATCGAAAAAGTATTGCTTTAGATTGTGTGATTCCTTTCGAAAGAGAATCAGGATCTATTCCAGCAAATTTACGGGCAGATACTCTGCTATTTATCTGGCACAAACTCTGACTTTGCTCTGAAGTGCCTGACATTTGTTCTGATATCTGCTCAGATGTATATTCACACATCTTTTCTGACATATGCTCTGGCCAATTGTTCTGATATCTATTTTGATACATGCTCCAACTTTGTGTTCTGACATGGTCTGACATTTTTTATTTGGCAAATTTCATGTGACATATATTCGGACACTTATTCTGATATCTGCTCTGATATCTATTCTGATATCTTGTCGGAGATTTTGAACATTTTTGAACCGGCAAATCTTGTGCGACATATTCTCCGACAAATAATTTGTCACATGTCATGTGTTATGTAACATTGTGCGATTGTCATGTTGAATTTTGTGCGACAATTTGCGACATATATGGTGTGACACGTGCATACATTTGCTCCCACATCCTGGAGCTTCTTATAGAGGTACAGGAGTGGCTGACAGAACATTTGGAGACCCTCACCTGACAGGTTCCATCTAAAACACATATTGATAATTAGTGATACATGAAAGGCCAACCAAATGCACTCATCCTTCACTCAGACCCGGTATATCAACATGTATCACCCATCACTCTCGCCACTGTCAAGACTCTTCACCCTCGCCTGCACAGCACCTTCAGCCTCTGCATCCAAGGCAGAAGTCGCCTGAATGTTTGTTAGAGGATGGCAGCTATCATCAGCTAGCAGGGGACCATAAGTATCGAAAAGCTGGGAGGTAGCTGGATGATCGGATGTGTTCACGTTCAAAGGCGTAATCGTTTTGAAAGACAAGCTGCATGAAACCATCTTTGTTCACCATCAGGTGCATTGGTATTCTATGACAATTCCTTCAAACCAATCCTATCCAATTCTCTCAATGTGGGTTGAACAAAAGTGGAATTAGTTTGAGAAACTGAGCAGCACAAAACGGGGACAGTTCCATAAAGAAATCTGATGCACATCATTCATTTGTGGCCAAAAAAAAATGTTTTTGTATGTTTTGGTATGCTTTTATTGAATTGGGTTGCGACGAGTACTGTACGTAGTCGATGGGGAAGTAATCTGCAAGACCAATAAAACCAGCGGGAAACTGTTGATCAATCTCCATCGTCGGAGGAACCCTCCGATGGGACACATGGATGTCTTGTCACATCAATTGAATGGGTTTGAGGTTGTCTCAGCGCGGGAGGTACCCTCAAAAAAAACATTGAATGGGGAAAAACATTTTAAACATCTATAAAGGATTTTGAAATATGGTATTGTTTCTCCCCGTTCAAGGTTTTTTGAAACAATACCATTACCAAAATAAACGCGGGGTTTGAAGGTACCTAATTTTGAGACATACCCATATGACTATTTGGGATTGAGCCACCCACAAAGCACACCTCAACCCGGCCCCAGAGATGCACACCACTAAAGCACAAACCTTCTTGATGTGATAAACATATATAAAGATTATATTCGTCCAGTAGTTTCCGATATTGCAGAGAGAACCCCAACATGTAAAACGTTGAAATGCCAAAGTGAAAGTGATCATCGTTACCCTAAACCTTGCAGGCTAAACTCTAGTCGGGCGGCTCCCCAATAACAGACATGTATACAACCCTCGTATCTTTAGGGCGTTCCCCTTCCCTACATGGTGGCCAGCCAACACAACCAATGTGCCCTTCCAATTGGTTCGGAAAGGCATTGTAAGCAACAAATTTATTGACAAATCACACCAGACGCGAAAACCCGCGGATCGGCACACGTGATTTTGATGATTCAGCAAAATCAACAAATAACAAAACATGTAATTAGTCCATAGATTGCCATAGATGGTGCCCCAGTTAGAAACTTCTATATAGTTGTGTGTGAATGTGCATCCGCTCCAATTCAATGATAAAAGGTGTCAATCTCAGGAATATATGTGGCTTCTTATTCAGCTTCTCAATCTGGGATGCACATCGAAGTACCCAAGACATGTCAACAGACCAGGCTCGCCTTGCCAGCGATGCCACCGCGCCTCGTCCAACACCAAGATGCGAGGTTTCAAGATCACCGCTCGTGCGATGCTCAGTCGCTGCCTAAGAGATACTTCATGGATCTTCACGGGATTCTTTTTAACGAACTGAATATACATAAACTAATCTACACTGTATATAGATATCTATACTGTACGTGGACATAAGTATTATATATATATATATATTATTATTGCGAAATACAACATACTCATGTATTGTTATATGTAAAAAACAATCAATAAAGGTTGGTGCATATGTCCGCACATGTAAATAAATCGTTATCACATGTGTAAATGTGGTATATGCACGTATATTCAACATTATTCAATCACGATATGACTGAAACAATGGTATGGAAGCATGAATGTCATCCCTCAGGGCTCCTCAAACGCCAGGGTCACAACTTCGTTTTGAAACCTTGCAAGTTGCAAAATGGCAATGACATCTTGAAAGCGATTATATCCATTGTTGAAATGTTAGGTGTCATTGCCATTATTGAAATTCTAAAATCTTGCAAGAATTGGCATAAAAACTTTGATAATGGGTATTTCAATAGTGGGTTAGAGCAATGTTCACAGGTTTTTGAATCCCTGTGGCCGACGTGGCGCTACTAGGTTCCAACGTGGCCCGGAACTAGCAAATACTTCCCAGTGCTAGTGCTTCCATGCATGCGGAATTGGCACCAGACTACATCATGGCAAAAATCCCTGGCTTGAACACTAAATGAACAGTAGATACTTTTAGTGTATTCCGTTTTTCTGGCTGAAAATGAATCAGGAAAAACCTACCCAAACCCCACCGACAGCACTGGGGGTGACCCACTTCTGCCCTCCGGACATATGTGCTCCTTGATCACCTCGGAAACGGAGAGGTGCTTGGATGCGCGGGATCCACTTACAATTCGCGGGAAATCATTTGAAATCAGCCTGTTTCAATTCCGAGATATTCCGACATATTCCCAAAAGTTATATATGGACAAACATGGGTCATTAACCACTTACCAAGCTTCGCTGCACCCCCTAATGGCAAGGAAACCTCCTGTTTTGTGGCCACCTAATCCCTGCCATCCCCAGCGAAGTATCTACAGCCATCAACTTGATCGGTGATTGTAGGGCGCACCAAACTTGGATGCTGTCGTGAATAACTTTATCCCATGCAACCAGGTGGAATCCAACACAGCATCTTAATGCGGGGTCTCATCATGGAAATAGTGTTTTTGGAACTCTTTTCAGTTAACATCATGCTATGGCGAAGAGAAAACAAAGAGAACATCAAATATTGAATCGTGCTGTAACAATTGAAAACAAATAGGTAACACAAGGAACTCCAGCTGTGCAAACCAGCTGTTCATCCCACACAGAACCTGCTGCTGGGCCTTTTTTCAAAGGTGAAACACATTCAAATCACTCAGATGAAATGAGATGACTAACAGATGAAATCATTGGAGGCCTTTGTTAACTCCATGGTGAAACCAACTTTGGACTGGCTCGACCATGAACCTGCGAGCGCCGCTTGTCGTTGTGGGGCGGGATGGGCAAAAGATGTTGTATTTATCAAAACTAAATTGGGATTTAAGCCACCACTTTTTTCCCGAATGCGTAGCTAGGGTTCCCGTTTCACTCTGGGGGTCTGGGGGGTTGAGGGTGTGTTCGCTCGACGTTGCCTAACCGTCCGCAACTGTTCGCGTGAGGACCGTATGGCCGTGCCATAGTAAGTTCTGCAAAAGAAGTCATTTTTGGATGTTTCCAGCGTCGCGTAGCTGCGTTTCGTAACGTGTTTCGTAAGGTGTCGAAAGTCGTTTTTGTGTGTGTGTGGCAGGCGCAATACTTTTGCGACGTTTTCGCAAGATGAGTTGCAGTTTTCGTGGCAGGCGCAGCACTTTGGACGTGTCCATCGTCATATATTGTCATTTCGCATGGCGGGCGCAGCACTTCAGACGTGTCGTGCGTGTTTTTGCGAATCGCATTGTCAGAGCTGCGTCAAGTGACGACAAGGTGCAAATTCCCTGGCAGGCGTGGCATTTTGTGAGAAGTGATGAAAATCGACCGAAGCCTCGCACGAAACATCGATTTTGAGGTAACAAATGTAAAGGTTCATCAGAAAACTCGTAGGAAACGCCGATTTTGAAGCTACAAAGTGTGAAGATTGGAAGAATTCTCGCAAGAAATGCTCGTTTTGATGCTCCCACGTGTCTCGTCTCGAGTCTCTGGTTTTCCTGTGGCCTAGCCGTGTCTATCGGGGAAGCTGCAAAACCTTTCCTTTTCGAAGGTTTCCAAGCAGGTTGTCATGTCGTTTTGCCTGGCAAGTGTGGCACTCTGTGACATTCCAACCTGTTTGATAACGTGTCGAAAGTCATTTTGTGTGGCAGGCGCAATACTTTTGCGTCGTTTTCACAAGATGAGTTGAAGTGTTCGTGGCAGGCGCAGCATTTTGGAGATCTCTGTCGTCATTTTGCGTGGCAGCCGCACCACTTCAGACGTGTCGCAATGCGTGCTCTACACTCCACATGCTAGACTCCACACTCCACACTTTACACTTCACACTACACACTTTACATTCCACACTTTACACTCTACACTCAACATTCTACACTTTACACTTTAAACTCCACACTTTGCACTCCACACTTACACCCCACACTTGACACTCACTCCACGCTCTACGCTCTACACTCCACACTTTACACTCCACACTCAACACATTACACTTTACGTTCTACACTTGACACTCTACTCTTAACACTCCACACTCCACACTTAGCAATTGACACTTTACACACGGTATTTTTACACTCCACACTCCACACTCTACACTTTACACTCCACACTCTACACTTTACACTCTACACTCTACACTCCACACTCTACACTTTACACTCCACACTTTACACTTTACACTCCACACTTTACACTTGCCAATTTACACTCCACACTCTACACTCCACACTCTACACACGACACTCCCCACTTTACACTCTACACTCTCCACTTTGCACTCCACACTTTTTAGTCACATGCGGCAATCCGCACTTTACACTTTATACTCCACACTTTCCACTCCTAACTCAACACTTTACACTCCACACTCAACACTTTACACTTTACACTCCACACTTTACACTCCTCACTCCACACTTTACACTCCACACTCTGAACTCCACACTCCACACTTTACACTCCACACTTTACACTCGACACTGCACACTTTACACTGTACACTCCACACTTTACAACTTAAACTTTACACTCCACACTCTACACTTTAGACACGTTACACTTTACGCTTTACACTCCACACCCAACACTTTACACTCCACACTCTGCACTCCACACTTCACACTCCACACTGTGAACTCCACACTTCACACTCCACCCTCCACACACTCTACACTCCACACTCCACACTCCACACTTTACACTCCACACTCTACACTTTAGACACGTTACACTTTACGCTTTACACTCCACACTCTACACAATACACTCTACACTGTACCCACTTTACACTTCACACTTTACACTCTACACGTTACACTACACACTTCACACTCTACACTCTACACTTTACACTCTACACTCCACACTTTGCACTCCACAGTGTACACGCCACACTTTACACTCACTCCACGCTCTACACTCCACACTTCACACTCCACACAAAACACTTTACATTCTACACTTTACACTCTACGCTTAGTACTGCACACTCCACGCTTAACAATTGACACTTGACATTCGGTATTTTTCCACTTTACAGTCCACACTTTACACTTTACACTCCACACTTTACACTTCACACTCTTCACTCCACAATTTACACTTTACACTCCACACTTTACACTTGACATTTTACACTCCACACTCTGCACTCCACACTCTACACACGACACTCCACTTTACACTTCTACACTTTCCACTTTACACTCCACACTTTACAGTCTACACACGACAATCCGCACTTTACACTTTACACTCAAGACTCAGCACTTTACACCCCACGCACTCCTAACTCCACACTCTACACCTTACACTCCACACTCAACACTTTACACTTTACACCCCACACTTTACACTCCTCACTCCACACTTCTCACTCCACACTTTACACTCCTCACTCCACACTTCTCACTCCACACTTTACACTCCACACTTTACACTGAACAGTCGACACTTTACAATTTAAACTTTTCACTCCACACTCTACACTTTAGACACGTTACGCGTTACACTTTACACTCCACACTCTACACTCCACACTCTCCACACTTCACACTCCACACTCAAGACTCCACAATCTGCACTCCACACTTCACACTCCACACACTCTACACTCCACACTCTACTCTCCACACTTTACACTCCACACTTTGAAATTTACACTTTACAATCTACACCTTACACTTCACACTCTACACTTTACACACTCTACACTTTACACACTTTACACTCTACACTCCACACTTACACTGCACACTCCACACTCTACACTCCACATTCTACGCTACACACTCCACACTCTACACTCCACACTTTAAACTTTACACTCCACACTTTATATTTTATACTTTACACTTCACACTGCACACTCCACACTTCACACTTTACACTCCACATTCCAGACTCTACACTTTATACTCCACACTCCACACTCCACACTCTACACTTTACACTCCACACTCCTTACTCTACACTCCACACTCTGCACTCTACACTTTCAGACACATCCATATGATGGGATTGCTAAAAAAATAGTGATATGATGGATGAAAAATGATGGGATTCCCATCTGATTAACTATAAATTTCATGGGATTTTAAATTATAAAGGGATAAACCACCTCATCTACCAACTGGTACTGTAAATCATTGGACTAGATGATCTACCAACTGCACGATTTCGCAACCATTAGGGTGGTGGTGGTGTTTTTTTATTGACCCACCAAGATGACGCAGAGCAGCGGTCCTAGGCGGCGTGAAGAACCTTGGCTGCCCGACAGTGTTGGACCAACAATGTGCCGTCCATGTCCAGGTGAGAAGACTGTTCTTTAGATGGGATGAAGCATTAATTTGAATTGTTTCCCGGATGTCATGAACCATTCTCTAGATAAAAACGGATTATCAATTACCATCCATTACCTGGTTAATGGTTCACAGGGTTTCATCACTTTCACAAGCAGGATATCGTCTCTACATCTGTATACTCCAGATTGAATAGAGCTGTGAACAAAAGTAGAGAGTACTAGTAGCACAATAAATTTGTTGATTTGCTGCATCTGCTACTTATCAAATGGCAATGTATGGAACCATTAAAATAATTTTCTGGGTTGTATATGGGTAGTGAAATGGGAGGAGTGTGGTGTAACTTATGTATGCATATTCTGCTTAGGCATATCTACGTACGTAAACCATAGTATAACTATATCTTTATACCACTATAATCCACTATGGACTATGTATGTATTATATAGATGTGGTTGAATGTATAAGGTCACACCACCAGAATACCATCCATTGCAGCTCGAGGAGCAGCTGCTGCCGCGAAAGGGCCGTCCATCTTGGCCCACCCCCACTGGTACTTCCTTGTGTGCTGCCGAACAGGTGAAAGAAATTGGGGATTTGTACAACATATATCCAACATAAATCTACGTGTATCACAGTGATTGAAGTTGAAGTTACCACTCCAAGAATACAGCTAAAGACAATCCAGTGAAATGTCGTTAAGGCAGCAAGGGGTGTGGAGCTAATATTAGACCATATTGTCGAAGTATATACTGTATATATATATATTAATAATAAAATAATATAATACATACATATATATTAATCATATTATATATGTAGCTGATTGCTCGTGCAGGGGTTCTTGTATCAAGTCGCGCAGGCCAACATTGTTCTGACCAGACTCTACTGTCGAAAATTACCCATATGTGCTCCATTCTTCTAACACTCTTCTGATTCCTGATTGTAATTAGATTATATTAGATGAGCACAGGTCAATCTTACTCTTGTCAAAGTGCAAATTATGATACCTCGATACTCATTGATTGCAATGTGATGTCTTGATCCGGGATACAACCGCTTCGTCTAAATAGGCCGAACACCAGGAATAGAATTATCCATGAAGCATACACACATCATTGAAAGGAATCGCTTCGGAATGATTTGGGTGACACAGTACTTCAAATATCGTGAACATTCTCATTCCGTCACTGGGAGGAACCACTCACTGCCAAGACGCGGTGCGCATGTGAAGAACTCAAGCTGCTGGACCTCACAGCGATATGAAGTTGGAATGTCTAACGTTGGGAAGAACGTTCACTTGTCAAATCCTGCTCTTGAATGTTGGTCACGGGCAAAATGCCAACCAACAGGCCACCACAAAGTAACGTGAGAAAGAGCTGTAATTCGGATTTCTGATTGTGAGACTCGACCCTGTTCAGAAATGTCTGGAGAGAGTATGGCAAGGTGAGGCATGTTTTGTCCGGGGACTTACCATGTCTACTTCATCTGTACTGCTGGCGACCAAACTGAGATCCCACACGGTGCCGTAGAAAGCCAGATATCCCTCCACACATGCCTGGACAAGATCGAGCAACTGACTTGGAGTTGTTTAACGCTCTGAAGCATCAACAAAATTACCCTCTGGTTGTTTAACATAGCCATGGGAAATGGCCCATTTATAGATGGTTTACCATGGCTATATGAAATAACCAGATGGTATATGGGATTCAATTACTAATAAATGAGGATTGAACTATCGATGGGTTGAACAGGATTTGTTGCTCTCATATACAAGGTCTTTTCGTGCAGCAGAATTGCATGCCGCAATGCCGAGAATTGCGCGACCATGACGACAACATTAACATATCACAACTTTTGACCCACTGACGCATATCTCAGCAGGTATCCAAATGTCCATCATTCAATGTGGGTGCATGATCGGATGCTGAAAACCCTGCAGGTCAGGGAGACCGCCTTTTCCGTGTCGCGGCACCGGAAGTAGAGCATGCAGCCCTGAGTCCAACAAAGGCACACACACATGGCAATATCTGGTGTTTCTGACAATTAATTCAATGAATGGCGAAACAGGTAGCGTAGAATGATGAGGATCGCCAGTACGATCATTCGGGCCTCATCGTTGGAACGATGCCAGCACTGCTGGAAGCTGATGCCTGGCTGTCGGCAGCTGCTGTGCAAAAACCCTGGGCAGCCAGAGGCTCGAAGAAACAGGGAACTGCTAGATTTTTGCACGGTTATTTCTTTGTCAGCTAAAACAACTTTCCTGTAGTTTCAATCAAACCATGCTGGTAGAATGCAGGGTCCTAGGAAACACCCACTTTGGGTTCGCTCCCTTGGAGAAAAAAGGAATGGAAATGTTGCCACCATTGCTGCACTCCAGTTGACCAACTCCGATCAAGATGTGGCAGGCGTCTCCTGCTCTTCATCCCAGTTTAGAGATGCACGATCGTTCAGTCTTACAATCCAGTTCGCAAACGGTGTGTAACCACCATGCAGTCGTTCAGAACAACGCCAAAGTCATTGCGAGAAATCAAGTGTCTGATTTCTATTGAAACTCAAACAATATAGATGTGGACCAACATAGATGTGGAAAACCCGCCATTTGCAGTCATTTTCCTAGGGAAACCATTTGTGTTGAATTACCCCAGGGAATCTATCATCAATGTTGTTCTCTGTATTTTCCAGAGGCCTGGCCACAACATTCATGCCTGGGTTGTTTCAGCAGTGTGCAAAGCCCTCTGTCATTCCGTTGTACTGGTTGGTTGATAGGGATTCTAGTCATGGATGATTGACATTGATGGTTATCTCAAATATCTTGGATAGCATAAACCAGTACAATCATTAACCAATGAAGGAATTGAACATTGCGGATGATGCCGTCCCCATCACCAAACCAAATTACCACCCTCTGTGCAACGGGGATTTGGCCGTTTCATAGGTGACTGAATCCGCCTGGTCAGCAATCCCAAACTGAGTTCTCAAGGGTTAACACAATAGAATTGGCTAATATATACCAACATATATTAAAGGCTAATATATCCCCGTATATGTATAAATAAATAAATAAATAATATATATATATATTTGTATGTATAGAGCCTCTATATTTGGGATTTTTATTGGTATTTGACGTACAAATATATATACTAGTGAAGGCATTGAGTTGAAGGAATCAAGGAACAAACTGTAGAATAATCAATGATCTATGGAACAGTCGCATGGTTGTGTTTCTTTTTGATCAATAGTCTATATATATACATATATATACATATATATATGTCTATAGTATTCTATAGTCTATATTGAAATAATAAGATAAGGATGTCGATATGATGATTACATTTGTAGATACGTCGTGAGTAGATTACATATAGAATACCCGGTTGGATCAGCCCTGATTTCCAGCCTCTTGCCATAAGGTCAATGGTGCATTGTTTTTGAAGATCTATAAGTTATGTTGTGATATATTAGAATGTTCAACAGCATGTGCCTGTAGTCAAGCTTTCTCACTTGATCTCAGATTTTACAGCGTTCCTTTGTTCCTTCCTTGGTTCCTGCTGAGTACAGTAGTTTGATAGAAACCCTACAGACGTAGATGACCTGGTACATAATGTGTAGATATACAAAACAATCAAATACTAGACATGTATGAGAGAATATGATACCAATATTATGTATACTGTATATATATATATCTATATATATATAATATGTATGAATCAACATGATATATCAGAAAGTATACGACGTTTCTCAGCATGATATATAGCCCCATGTATGAGATATAACTGAACAGTCATGATGCAGATTCACATACACATTGTAGTAGCAATACCATCATACCATCATGGTTGTTTTAATTTCTATCATTTGTTTGGTAGTTCTTTCCATATCGCCACTGATTTCCGTGCTTTACTTGCTAACTTCCTTCCTTGGTTCCTTGTGATTGCTCTAGTGAGGAAAATACCCAACAACCAAAGACACTTGTGAAGTGAGGCATCCCTACTAGGCGATAAATGTTGACAACATTTGACAACCTATTTCATAAACGATCAACAATGGTAATTTTGATGCCTCCAAGGCGCTGATTTCTTTGTTACTACATGTTACTACCCATCCCCTCTAGTTGCCTGAGACTCACTATCCCTCTCGGCCTTCAGGCTTCTCCGGGCGGTGCCTCGTTGAAATCGTTAGTAGCGGAGTGGTGAAACGCACAGTTCCAGTCACTTTGGGGTCACTACATCCTATAATCTACATCAGCGGTTTACTAATAACAAAGGTCGGCATTAGTTGATATCAGTTTTACAGTATCATCAAAAAGTGCTATAAGTCTTTAAATCCTTAATTAAGATCCACCAACGGGTTGCTATCGAACTGCCGCACATCTTTAACATCTTAAAATTCGCAAAAAAGGACCCCTTGCTTTCATATGGCCGGTTCCACACATATTCCAACCCCATTGGGTTCAGGAGGGGACCCTTGGATGACTGTACTCACGGTATACTCTTCCTGCTTGTATGGAACATGATGGAACATGATGGAACATGGGAAATGATCAAAATGGGACCAAACAAAAACTGTTTGATTTCACTGCTTTCACGGCCAAAACAACATGTTTTCCTGCGAAAAGAAAGGAATCTACGGAACGTCATCAACATGAGCTTGGACCACCCACACAAAATATGCCATGACTTAGACAGAAATAAAATTGAACCTCACAGAATCTCGTAGAAAAAAAAGGGCTTCATGTCCAGAAATTCCTTCCCCGACATGGGAAAATATCTACAACTTCCAATCTGGGCAAGTTACTGCAATTCTCAAACATTTCTTTTTCGGAAGAATTCCCTCCAATCCTTGCCATCATTCTTGGGGTGACCGGCAGGTGAGGTCGCAAGATAGCCCTGACCCGGCTTCACTTTTGACATCTTTCTCAAAGTTGGGATACATATGAGAGGTTTTCTCGTAGTAAACTATCCACCATTTTTACACCGTAAAACATCATGTCGTATAACTTGACATTCATATATAGTTCAACATAACTTACCCAACGGATGGTCTATGCACACGATGCATGAACACCCCTGGCACAGACAACAAATCGAAACGGGTCCGTTATGTGTCGGAGGCCCCTCACCGCCATCTTCTCCTTGGCCTCAGCGCAAGGTTGGTGTACCAAAACATCATGGGGGGATTCATGAGGGAAAGTTTGAGTCTTGTGAAACACAAGGGAACATGAATAAGCACAGTCAATAAAATGGTGATTTGAGTCAGGATACATGATACGAGGTAGAGATGCATCGCAAACTACCAGTAAAAGCCTTTGTGCCAAAGGCTATTGGCATGAGTATGCCTGAACTATTGGGATGGCATGTTGCCTTGAATTGGCCAGCTCACATTCACAGGGGGATGGAAGAGCTGTGTGAGGAATCCCAAAAACCTCCAAAATATCTACCCTCTGGTAAACTAACATAGATATTGAAAATCGCCATGCTGTCAATGGGTAAATCCACTATTTCTATGGCCATTTTCAATAGCAAACTGTTAGTCATTACCAGAGGGTACCTTGCGTTTGGCAAAGTCAGGAACTTTGAGGCCGCCCCGACCCTGATAGGAATGCAAATCCAACACCATGACAGGGGTTCGAATGGAATCTCCCTGGCACCAACAGTGAGCAGTTTAAACACCCATCCAATGCTGACCCCCTGATGAGCCGGGATGATCTTGGCTAAGAAAACATGGCATAGTGGGCATGAGGGTATCACTGGCTTCCAACCAAATAAGCAGTGAAAGGCAAACAAAAACATGGTTTCATGAAAACTGCGATCATTATATCATGCACCAACTTGGCCCGTTACCACAATGCTTCCGCCAAGGTGCTGCTCCAATGGCGGCAGTTTGTGCCTGGTCAGCGCAGCGGTTTCCTAATAACAAAGGTCGGCATTAGTTGATATCAGTTTTACAGTATCATCAAAAAGTGCTATAAGTCTTTAAATCCTTAATTAAGATCCACCAACGGGTTGCTATCGAACTGCCGCACATCTTTAACATCTTAAAATTCGCAAAAAAGGACCCCTTGCTTTCATGTGGCCGGTTCCACACATATTCCAACCCCATTGGGTTCAGGAGGGGACCCTTGGATGACTGTACTCACGGTATACTCTTCCTGCTTGTATGGAACATGATGGAACATGATGGAACATGGGAAATGATCAAAATGGGACCAAACAAAAACTGTTTGATTTCACTGCTTTCACGGCCAAAACAACATGTTTTCCTGCGAAAAGAAAGGAATCTACGGAACGTCATCAACATGAGCTTGGACCACCCACACAAAATATGCCATGACTTAGACAGAAATAAAATTGAACCTCACAGAATCTCGTAGAAAAAAAAGGGCTTCATGTCCAGAAATTCCTTCCCCGACATGGGAAAATATCTACAACTTCCAATCTGGGCAAGTTACTGCAATTCTCAAACATTTCTTTTTCGGAAGAATTCCCTCCAATCCTTGCCATCATTCTTGGGGTGACCGGCAGGTGAGGTCGCAAGATAGCCCTGACCCGGCTTCACTTTTGACATCTTTCTCAAAGTTGGGATACATATGAGAGGTTTTCTCGTAGTAAACTATCCACCATTTTTACACCGTAAAACATCATGTCGTATAACTTGACATTCATATATAGTTCAACATAACTTACCCAACGGATGGTCTATGCACACGATGCATGAACACCCCTGGCACAGACAACAAATCGAAACGGGTCCGTTATGTGTCTGAGGCCCCTCACCGCCATCTTCTCCTTGGCCTCAGCGCAAGGTTGGTGTACCAAAACATCATGGGGGGATTCATGAGGGAAAGTTTGAGTCTTGTGAAACACAAGGGAACATGAATAAGCACAGTCAATAAAATGGTGATTTGAGTCAGGATACATGATACGAGGTAGAGATGCATCGCAAACTACCAGTAAAAGCCTTTGTGCCAAAGGCTATTGGCATGAGTATGCCTGAACTATTGGGATGGCATGTTGCCTTGAATTGGCCAGCTCACATTCACAGGGGGATGGAAGAGCTGTGTGAGGAATCCCAAAAACCTCCAAAATATCTACCCTCTGGTAAACTAACATAGATATTGAAAATCGCCATGCTGTCAATGGGTAAATCCAATATTTCTATGGCCATTTTCAATAGCAAACTGTTAGTCATTACCAGAGGGTACCTTGCGTTTGGCAAAGTCAGGAACTTTGAGGCCGCCCCGACCCTGATAGGAATGCAAATCCAACACCATGACAGGGGTTCGAATGGAATCTCCCTGGCACCAACAGTGAGCAGTTTAAACACCCATCCAATGCTGACCCCCTGATGAGCCGGGATGATCTTGGCTAAGAAAACATGGCATAGTGGGCATGAGGGTATCACTGGCTTCCAACCAAATAAGCAGTGAAAGGCAAACAAAAACATGGTTTCATGAAAACTGCTGAACATAAACAAAGAAAACCAGCAATTGTCACTTGCAGCACAATGTAGAACTCACATCATCCTGACATCATTATTGGGGTTCCATATGATCTCACAATAAAGTCATCACGGTCATTGGATGGTTGATGTCGATTTTAACAGATGTGATCCAGGGTTGATGTGGAAATGAACACGACTTATGATAGGGTCACCTTCTTGTAAACAAACATGCCAGTGGCTAATCCCTGGTGCGTGGATGTATTGCCCATTCCAACAAAAACATTCTCGCTGCAGGTTTCTGCAATTCTACAGTCTCAGACGGAATTATCACTGCCAACGATGGAACACCAACAGAAACAAGGGTGGTGACATAACGAACTAAAACGAAGATCATCCATGGGAGATATTATCTTTATCCATGTCAAAACGATGATTGAAATCCTAAACATGGGATGTTTCCTAGTCAACACTCACTAGTAGTTGGGATTGTTCCTTGCCAATTCCATTCAGGAAACACAGGGGGAAGCGGCCAAACACATGGAGAAATTCTATATTATATCTTCCTTAGATGCCATATACCTATCATATGTTATGCCAAAGTCGACAAACCTATGTGCATTGTATATAGGTATACATACACTTATACATCTATAAATACACGCATATATTGTATACATATATAATATGTACACTTGAAAAATAAACAAATAAATACATCATTATCAACATATCACGCTACAATTCGTCCGTCATCCGTCACCATCCTTTCAAACAAGCTATTGTAATTCGCAAATTATTTTTTTTGGGAGAATTCACATAATCCATCTTAATCCGAACCATCATGTTTGGAGTGTTCCGCAGGTGAGGTCGCAACAAAACCTTGACCTTGTTTCTCTTTTGACCAGACAACATGAACAATTTTTGCAATATGTCAAATGGTTTTCGTGTGTTAGAGCATTAACCATTTTTGGTATGTAAAAATCCAATCACATCACTTTTTTATTTTAGAACTTAGAACTCAACATGCCCTCTGGTGAACTAACATAGCAATTGAAAATGGCCATTTATAGTGGATTTTCCCATTAAAAATGGTGATTTTCCATTGCTATGTTAGTTCACCAGAGAGTATATAATCTACCCAAACTAGGCTTTGTGCATAGGTACAAACACCGCTGGCACACGAAAACCGACAAAACCGATAAACGGAACGGACGACATCCATCTGAGTCCGCTCACCGCAGCCAGCGAGGTTTCGTCCTCAGGAATCGCAAGACATTTTGGAACCGGTCGGATCAAAGGCAACCAAATTCCACTTATGTAACTTATAAGTATGCCATTTATAGTGAAGCAAACCATAACTAACCATAACTTATGCTTATTATCTGATTGTTTTCAGCAGGAAATTGTAACAAATTTCACAAGGGATGCATGAGGGACGGTTTGCCATTTTGTTCAAAAAACACGGGAATAGAACAGAGGAACAAAGTCAACAACATGGTGATGTAAGTCAGCACACATGACAGAATATAGAGACACGCCGTCAACTACAGTACCATGATTGAAATTGAGAAAATTTGCGGCCTTCAACCATCCAAACATTACATGGGAGATGCAACACAATGACAGAGGCTCAAATAGAATGTCCCTGGCCCCCACCAACAATGAGCATTTCACGTCTTTTTCGTTGGTGCAAACAATACAACATTATGTTTCTGTAAAGAAAGTACTGACGAACCAGGATGATCTTAGAAAATTGTGGTGCAGAACGACGTAGTATTTCCAAAAAGGGTTCGGAACAACAAAAGATTCGGCCAGTCCGATCTGTAATATATGACACCCGCAAGAGACCCCGAACAGTGTGGGGGGTAGGAAGTCAATGTGCTAGATACAAGCAACAGTAGCTATGGAAGAGCAACAGGTTAGATGGTATCGCAACTGCAGCAGCAGGACCTCCTATCTAGATCTATATAGAGGATCTCACAAGAGCTTCATAGAAGAACGTCCTAAGAGCATCCCAGAAGAACTTTCATACAAGCGCCAGCGCAGAGCATCTTCAAGATCTTAATGCAAGGACATCTCGAAGAGGATTTCAACAGGTGACCAGTGCCACATCATGTAAGGTCTCCGAGAGGATTTCACCAGGACCTCTTCAAGAGTTCCGCACAAGGACCTGTACAAGATCATGCAAATGCCTCTGACAGCATGTCACTAGGATCTCCACAAGATCTTCACACAAGGATTTGTAAAAGACCTTGAGCAAGATCTTCATGCCAGGACCCGCTAGAGAATTTCACAAGATCGTCATGAAAAGGACCTGCTGCTGCTGGAGCAGATCTTACAAGATCTTGTTGCAAGAACCTCCCACGAGCCTCCCACAAGAGCTTTCATACAAGCACAGCTCAGACATGGCATCTGCAAGCTCCTCACGCAAGGACCTTTTAGGCAGGATCTCACCAGGACCTCCGGAGGACCTTCAGTTAAGGACGTGTACAGGATCATGCAAGGACCTCTTAGAAAGGAATTTCGCAGGATCCCCACAAGAGTTTGCAAGAGCCGGTATATGCGAGAATTTACAATGTGCCGCGGACCCAGAGCTTGAGGACCCCGCGGCGCAGACTTTGCGCGAGCCTGCTCAGTTGAAATGCACATGGACATGTCACAAGAGCGAAAATTTACGGGAAAAATGCAGCGCCCCAAGATTGCGACGGTTTGTGCGAGTCTGTGCAGTCAAAACGCACATGGAGATGTCACAAGAGCAATATTTTGCGCGAGAATTTACCGGAAGCCAGATGGAGCACCCTGATCAAGCACCGGCCTTTACTCCTGCCGTAAGAACACCTAAGTGCTGACGCACTATTTGGGGATTTACGCATCACAATGCGGATCCAAATCAGTAACAAATCCCCGGATGTAGTACATAGATCTTACATATCTACATATTCGCTGCTCGCTCTACCTTTCAAGTACCAACCATATGATATGCTGCTTGCTTTAGTGGGTAGGCTGTCTGTCAACTAGCTCTGGATGCCAAGCGCTGGTTTAAGCGACTGGGTTCTGCACTTGTGGACAAAACCAACTACTACCGTTGCTCATGTTTTTTGGGCTCAATCTTTCTCATTGTTTATCTATTAACTTATTCTGCTACATGGTATGATGGAGACCATGGACGATATATGATATGTATATAAATATATATATATATGTATATTATATTAACTTCTATTCTATTCTATTCTATTGTATTATGTTAAATTACATTTTATTATGTTATATCATGTTAAATTATATTATATATGGTATATGTATGTATATATATATATATATATGTATGTGTCTACATTATATAAATATATACATATATAGATATTATTCTTCGGGATGGGCGGCTCATTCAGCCAGTCATGTCAGGCTGCATCAGGCTGGGGCTGCTTACCAAATTGTTTGACCCACCTAAAGATGATGGGAACCTACGTGTAGCCCATTTGGCTCTCGGATCGTCGCCGTGGCCAGAACTAAAAGAATTATTAAGCGATATTAAAGGGTTGCTCCCAACACCCCAAATAGGCGGGGATAATTGGCTAAAGAAAAGAATGAAATCAGAAAAAAGTATCACTTTTTCCATGGCCTTGACCGGCTATAATTTAATCTAATTACTTATAAGTCGTTGGAGCAACCCTGTGTTATGGCACCTCATCGGCCCTTGGATGCGCTCACACTGTGTAACAGTAGAGCCAGAAGAGCCCACCCCACTTGCGGAACAAATTCACCATTCTCAAAGCCCAGACACTAGCAGCAGCAACCACAGCAACGCCCGCCACAAAAGGCAAGCAAGAAAGAAAGCAAGAAAGAAAGAAAGAAAGAAAGAGAACAAACGAAAAAGGACAAGAGAGACAGAGAAAAATAGAGAAAGAAGGCACCAATTTAGCAATTTGAGAAAAAATGAAAACAACAAAAAAGAAAGAATGAAACAAAGGAAAAAAGGAAGAAAGCACGGAGAACAAACAAATAAGAAAAGACGGGCAGCGAAATAATCAGCACCGATTGGCCAAGCAAGAAACCCCTCTAGTGGCTCATGTGGCAACTTCAGCACAAAATGTTTAAACGTTTAAACCATCTCAAAATTTTTAAGCAGATCCCTGTAAGCGTGCTTGCTTAACTAGTTTAGAACTTACGGTCTAATGCTTAACAGTGTTTTGCCCAACCCTGACCAACAGCAACAACCACAACATGACACGCAAACCAACGGAGACTTTACTTGGATCCTGGCCGCTCCGACAGACTTCTCTCCAAGTCTTTGGGCGCTTCCGCCGGCGCGGAATCCGCCGGCACCTCCGCCGGCGCCTCCACCGGCACCCCTGCCGGCGCTTCCTCCTGCTACCAGCACCATCGTGACTACGGTGGCCCACAACCCTCAGTGCTCTTGGACTGGTGGCTACAATCTTTCTTGTGCAATTTTGGATGGCTGGGGGGCACAAAATCTACAACTCCACGATGGTACAGACTATTACAGTTATTACAGACTATTGTCATCTATGGTCAGCGTTTTGTTTCAGTAATTGGGGACACAATGTTGGAATTGGGATTTGCAAGCAACGCTCAGATTCAACATCACAAATGGACATATCTTATCGCAACCCAGTTTGGAACCCAGTCTTCCTCAATGCTTATGTATTCGAACACCTCACATTTCATCACACGTTAATTTTGTTGAAAGTCCTCGAACCTCCTGGCCAATGATATTCCGACATTCCCATCCTCTCGTTATCAGCCATTAGTGGCCATTACTCAATGTAGCTGTCTTTTTTCACCTTCTTCACCTTTCAATCTTACAACACTGATCGCCAAAACCTGTGAAGACCAAGCCAAACACCGGACTCTTCTCCTCTTCATCCGGGTCAGAAATCTGACCAATGCTGCTTCCACCTATGCCAAAACTGCAAATGTCGACAAATCCATCTGCTCTTTTGAACATGTCTTGGGGCACCCCAACAAGTTACAGGGCCCCCAGGGGTAGATTCAGTTTGGCATGGCATGGCGTCCTGCAGTGCTCATGGTACAGTTGGCCAACTGGATCCCTTGGATCCATTCGATGGGCTCCCACACCCTCGGAAAGCCCAGGCATCCAGGCCTGAAATCGCGCAGATTGCTGTGTGGACACCACCATCCCATCCCGGCCCTAGTTTCACAAAAAAACATTATCTTTAGAGAAACAGTGTATGCATATTATGCATATATGATCATATATATATACGGTACATAACAATTGATACATCAATAATTTAGAACTTATAGAACTAATATTACTAATCTTATTTATTACAATTGGTTTCTGTTTTTTGGAGCACTTCATCCCACTCACTCCAACTGGCGTCTGACGGTCATCACGGGATCACGGGCCAAGGCACAGTGCTGCATGCGGATGTTGATATAACATGCTCCACACGTTTTTTGGCTTCCACATCGCCTGGGACTAAGGGTCAAGTTGTGCCTTGGCACCTAAGAATGCTGGACCATTAACATTATTTTTCTTAATGTTAAGCAACTTATAGTAAATGAATAACAAGACAATCATCTGCTAAATTGTTTCCTTCATTTGGGTGATGATTTTGATCCAAACCTATAGTGGAAACGCTTTGATGTTTCAAACATGGATAGGATTGGCTTGGTCTTGTTTCAAACATGGATAGAATCACACGTTCTTTCACGTCCTGGCTGAAGTCACCTGAAGTCACTAGCAAATCCCTACCCCTTAAACCACGGGGGGCAGAAAATTGTGATATTATCCTTTTCGAGGGTAGGGGGTGAAAAATTGTAATATTATCCATGCGAAGGTATGTGAACCCAGCTGCTGAGCAAACATGAGCAAACGATAATACAATTACAGCCGTCAAAAAAACATATGTGAATAAACGACAATGTAGTTTCAAAACTATATTTAGCATTTTCTAGCGATAATTGACAAGTATAACCCCCCTGGAACAAGCAATCCCTAGCGAATCCCCAAGGGTCGCACCAGCGTCTCGTGGGCTGCTGGCCTGTGGGTTTCAACCCTTGATCTGGAACTGAAATTTTGAGCCGCAGCATGAACGTATGTGTGTATAATGATGTTCGAACATTTGGGTGTGAAGAATCAGGCCCGAAAATGGCCAAAAAATCATGTTGGGCATTGCCGGATACCCTGGGGAAAGAATCGGTACTCCTTCTTTCCCTCTGAACTTGGTCTCAAGATTGGGACCCAAACCAACAGACTACAATGTGGTGCCCCCCAATTATAAGTTGGTTTACAAACCCCATTTACTATAGTTATATCTGCCATAAACCATAGTTATTGGAGTTATTAACCAACAGACTACCCAGCCCCCTGCTGTTCTGGGGAATTTGTCCTTCAATGGGACCCCCTCCATTCAGAACCATCAAAATATGGGGAAAATGATGTTCTGAACCATTGATACCATTGGAGCTTAAGGGTACCCTAGTCCCTAGTTTCCAACAAATGCACACCTGGTTGGTGGTTTCAACCCATCTGAAAAATATTAGTCAGTTGGGATGATTATTCCCAATATAAGGAAAAACGTGTGCCAAAACACCACCCAGTCGGGAATTGAAAGGTGTGACTCCGGGCATGACCTTCAATTTGCATGACATGGCCGCTTCTGGGAAATCAATGACACGATCCAATGGTTACACCCTTCCAACATCTCAGGTGGTCCGATGTTGACCTTTAAAAAGTCGAGTTTGACATTTTGGTAATCCATGTGCTGTTTTTCCACACAAAAGACCAATAACATGATTTTGGTTTTCGCAAGCCCTGTTTAGGTGTGATGTTGATTTGCGAATCAGACCATTGTCGAGCTGCTCACCAGTCCATTGATGTTGCCAAATGTTGTCTGCGCCTTGCTGGGTGCACCAGGCAGCCCGTTCCGTCTTGGTTGTTTTCAGCAGACCTTGCTGAGCCAGGGCTGCGCCATCTTCCTCAGCAGTCAACTCTGCGCCGATGGGGTTGAGAACCTCGTCCTCTGCTGCCAAGTCAAAATACTGCCCCTCCTTCGCGGTCATCTGTGTGGCTTGCGGCGGTGACATTTGGTAAATGGTTGGTGACTTCTTCCCCCTTACTAAACGTATCCCAAATACTAAATTCACTCGGATCCATTAAAATTTAGGAAATTTGAAGTTGGTTTTTAATTGATCCCCTTCAGAAAACAAATTCAAAAGAAAGGTCCCATTTGAGGGTTTCACCCCCAAATAGTAAAAACTAGTCAACACAGGTGCTTCTTTTTAGGGTTCGTCCTTAAAAAAACAAAACTTTAGTTCCCGAGACCGTCTGAGCGCAGGGTTCTTCCCATAGTGGGGGTCTGTAAAACATCTTCTCATTTTCACATCTTCTCATCTTTACATCTTCTCATCTTTACATCTTCTCATCTTCGGATCTTCTTATCTTACATCCTCTCATCTTCACATCTTCTTCTCTTCGCATCTTCACATTTTCTTATCTTCACATCTTCATTTTTACATCTTCTCATCTTCACATCTTCTCATCTTTACATCTTCTCATCTTATTATCTTACTTCCTCTCATCTTCACATTTTTTATCTTCACATCTTCACATCTTCTCATCTTCACATCTTCTCATCTTTACATCTTCTCATCTTATTATCTTACTTCCTCTCATCTTCACATCTTTTTATCTTCACATCTTCACATCTTCTCATCTTCACATCTTCTCATCCTCACATCTTCTCATCTTCACATCTTCTCTCTTGCCCTCTTGCTCTCTTGCCCTCTTGCTCTCTCCTTCTTTTCTATTTCTCTCTTGAAGGCGCGGGGCAGTGCTAACGAGACGGCACGAAACGCAACCCTTTCGCACGAAATGAGGTTCGATCGCCAAAAATGCGGTAAAATTGCAATTTCAAGTCGTCCCGCGCAACCCTTTCGCACGAAATGAGGTTCAATCGCCAAAGACTGCGGTAAAATTGCGATTTGCAAGTCGTCCCGTGCAACCCTTCCGCACGAAATGAAGTTCGATCGCCAAAAACTGCGGTAAAATTGCGATTTGGAGTCGTCCCTCTTGTCCCGCGAACCCTTTCACACGAAATAAGGTTCCATCGCCAAAAACTGCGGTAAAATTGCGATTTCGAGTCGTCCCGCGCAACCCATCCGCACGAAATGAGGTTCGCTCGCCAAAAACTGCGGTAAAATTGCGATTTCAAGTCGTCCCTCTTGTCCCACGAACCCTTTCGCACGAAAAGCGTCTGTGTGTAAAACTGTCTGTGTGTAAAAGCGCCTGTGTGTAAAAGTGTCTGTGTGTAAAAGTGTCTGTGTGTAAAAGTGACGCTTCTGTGTGTAAAAGCGTCTGTGTAAAAGCTTCTGTGTGTAAAAGCTTCTGTGTGTAAAAGCTTCTGTGTGTAAAGGCGTCACATGTGTAAAAGCGTCTGTGTGTAAATAAGTCTGTGTGTAAAAGCGTCTGTGTGTAAAACCGTCTGTGTGTGAAAGCGTCTGTGGTGTAAAAGCGTCTGTGTGTAAAAGCTTCTGTGTGTAAAAGCGTGTGTGTAAAGAAGTCTGCGTGTGTGTAAATAAGTCTGTGTGTAAATGCACTCAGAATGACCGAACTGTGTGGTATAAAATCGTCTGTGTGTAAAAGTGTCTGTGTGTAAAAGTGTCTGTGTGTAAAACTGTCTGTGTGTAAAAGCGCTTGTGTGTAAAAGCGTCTGTGTATAAAAACGTCTGTGTGTAGAACTGTTTGTGTGTAAAACTGTCTGTGTGTAAAAGCGTCTGTGTGTAAAAGTGTGTGTGTGTGTAAAAGTCTGTGTGTGTGTAAATAAATCTGCGTGTAAAGCGTCTGCGTGTAAAGTGTTTGCGTGTAAAGCGTCTTTGTGTAAAGGCGTCTGTGTGTAAAAGCCTATGTGTGTAAAAGCGTCTGTGTGTAAAAGTTCCGTGTGTAAAAATGTCTGTGCGCAAAAGCTTCCGTATGTAAAAGCGTCTGTCTAAAAGCATCTGTGTGTAAAAGCATCTCTCTGTAAAAAGTTCTGTGTGTGAAAAGCTATTTGAAAGATACGGATACGATGCAAACTATTGTCTTGTACTTGTGCTATATTGTCTTGATACTACTCTTCTCGTCTGCCTATAATACATCTTTAATATATTGTTTTGTAATATGGTGTCTCCATACTAACAAGAGAAGACCCTGCTCCTACGCTCTCGGGCCATCCGTCGTCTAGTTTTTTTGTTTATATATATATATGGTCTTTAATCTATTACCAGTAGTACCGCGCAAGGCGGTGGCGGAAGTTTCAAAAATAGGAAACCTATAGGAGAGGTTGGTTGTTGTGAATCAGGGATGGCAGAGCGAAGCCACTGATGGACTAAAAGGTGCTTGAGGTCTCCTCTCTTTCTCTCTCTTTCTCTGACTATCTACCTACCTACCTGCCTATCTATCTATGTATCATTATGTATCTATCTATCTCTCTCTCTCTCTCTCTTTCATCTGTCTATCTGTCTAGCTGTCTACCTGTCTACCTATCTATCCATCTATCCATCTATCCATCTATCTATCTGTCTACCTGTCTATCTGTGGTGCAGTGTCATACAGTGTAATGTAGTGTAGTGTAATGTAGTGAAGTGTAGTGGAGTGTAGTGGAATGTAGTGTATGTAGTGTAGTGTAGTGTAATTTAGTGTAGTGGAGTGTAGTTGTGTAGTTGTAGCTGTAGTTGTAGTGTAGTGGAAGGTAGCGTAGTGGAGTGTAGTGTAGTTTAATGTAGTGAAGTGTAGTGGAAGGTAGTGTAGTGTAGTGTAATGTAGTGTAGTGGAGTGTAGTGTAATTTAGTGTAATTTAGTGTAGTGGAGTGTAGTTGTGTAGTTGTAGTTGTAGTTGTAGTTGTAGTGTAGTGGAGTGTAGTTGTGTAGTTGTGTAGTTGCGTAGTTGTAGTTGTAGTGTTGTGGAATGTAGTGTAGTGGAGTGTAGTGTAAATGTAGTGAAGCGAAGCGAAGCGACATCTGAACCTCCAAAAGTGGTCCGAACGTGGTGTGTTTTTAACATTTTGACTTCCAAATGTACTTCGCGCCACAACCGCGTGCACCTTTTCGACATCTCAACTGCCAAAAGTGGTCCAAAGGGTGTGTTTTGTACATTTTGACTTCGAAATGTGCTTCGCGCCACAACTGCGTGCACTTTTTCGACATCTGAACTTCCAAAAGTGGTCCGGAGCTGGTGTGTTCTGTACATTTTGACTTCGAAATGTGCTTCGCGCCACAACGGCGTACACTTTTTCGACATCTCAACTGCCAAAAGTGGTCCGCACCTGGTGTGTTTTGTAGATTTTGACTTGGAAATGTGCTTCGCGCCACAACGGCGTGCACTTTTTCGACATCTCAACTGCCAAAAGTGGTCCGCACCTGGTGTGCTTTGTACATTTTGACTTGGAAATGTGCTTCGCGCCACAACGGCGTGCAATTCTTCATCTCTCATCTGGCCAGCTGGCTCCGCACCCACCGCTTTAGCGAGCCTACTTTTCGACCCTCCGGAGCCCCACATCATTGGAAAAACACGGTGTTTCGTGCCTTTCCTACCTTTTCACGCATCTGCATCTTCTTTCTTCTTACTCTTCTTTCTTCTAATCTTTCTCTTCTCTCTGCCTTCCCTGCTCTGCTTTTCATCTGTCCATATTGTCGGAAGTTTGACTTCTAAACTTCCTTCGATTAGGAGAAAGGTTCGGAATCAAATTATACTTATTTTCAGTTATATAAACCATGGTTTTCCCGTGCTTTTTTATCTTGAAATCAATAAGGTTGAAACAGAATTGAGAACAACAAACTGGATAAGAACATATGCATACCACCCCCATTCTAGCAAGTGGAACTATCAACATGCCAGGACCTCATATATTATTTTATAAATTAACTTTTTCATGTTTAAGATTATTTTTTCCCACAAAATCACCATACCTCGTTGTATGAATTAATTAGGGTCTATGGCCGTAACCAGCACTTTCGGTTGAATCATGGAAGCAAGCCCTTCTACTGTACAGTACAGTACCTTACAAAGATAATCTGTGTTTATCATCATGTGTATGAGATTGTATTTGTATGTATACAGACCCTTATGCATCCTTGTTCCGATGGAAAAGGAAACCCTTTGAAACAAATGTGACTTTGAAGATCATGGGAGTACTCATTAATATCAGATGCGTTGGGCGGATTCTCCTGCAGCAATCTCCAATGGGTCTGCTTTTGCTTAAACAGAACAACTCTTGATTGCGCTTCTGATTTCAGATGCAGCAACAGCTGTTTTCCCTTTAGATACCAGAATACCTCAAAAAAATAACACCTGCTGCCCCCAAAGGAAGGGTAGAAGCAAAAAGAAAGAACTGGCTCCCAAAATCACCATGACCGAAGGAGGTTTAGGGAACATGGAACCTATTTGGCTGAAGCTCACTTGAATGAGCTCGAAGCTTAAGTTCGATCAAGTATCTAAAGATGTTCTGAAAAAATATGCCTTTAGATGTATTCAGGGGTTCCACCACAACTCATCATGACAAGTTGCAAACATATGGCTACCCCTAAAGACCTACCTACCTTTGACCAGTTGGTTTCCGGATATCGCATATTTTTCCTGGGTTGATTGAATACATCCCATGTATTGTCGGTCCCCATGGTTTACAGTGTACTTTGGTTTCTGTAGCCAATGGTCACGTTGGTTTATTGTTTACTTTGGATTGGTGTATAGTATATAGAAACAAAAGACCAACTAGGAACCGTGGACCATCAATTCTTACTGTGCCCCCCCCTTAAACAACACCTACCATTCAGCACTTTGATGGAGAAACATTCGCACACAGACCAGATTGTGCCTGTCCATTCGCAGATCGCCTGAGAGAAAACCAGGGGGCTTATCAAGGTCAGTCTTGGATATTGTGTTAATCCCATCACCCTAATATTGAACACCCCAATTGCATGGTCCCAATTATGTTCCACACCACCAACCAGGGCACACTGTGGCGGCCGCAGTGTGCCCTGGTTGGTGGTGTGGAACATATTTGGGACCAAGCAATTGGGACCATGTCGGGGCGCACATGTTGCGGGACCGAAGTGCGTGAAACAGAGGGGCACACGGCACAGCCTTTACACCCACTGGATGTACGTCTTGGCTGAAGCCTCAGTCTCCAACCCTCCAATGCTGAACCTCCCTGCGCTTGCTTCTGTACAGTGAGCAGGGGTGCAATGAAGGGTTTACCAGTGCAATCTCTCATGGAAGGCCAACTAGTCAGCGACCATGGGGATACTCCAGGCTCCCGGTTGTGAGTCCGACTGCAGAAAGGAAGCCCCCAGCTACGGTTGTTGAGTCATCTATATGGACAGATCTCTCAGAAATATCAACTGGGTGGTGGTTGAGCCTACCCCTCTGAAAAATATGACTTCGTCAGTTGGGATTATGACATTCCCAATATATGGAAACTCATAAAATTCCATGGTTCCAAAGCACCAACCAGTCAATCCAGTAGGTTAGCTGCTAAACCAACTTGGGAGGTCATGGAACTCATATGAACTCATGCTTTTGAAAATCATGTTCCCGATTCTGAAAAACCATTTTTATGTGGGGCTGCATTCCCCCGCTTTTGGGCAACACCATTTTGGAGCCAAAATCAAACGTAATGAACCATATACCCTCTGGTAAACTAACGTAACTATGGAAATCACCATGCTATTAATGGGTAATGGGTAAATCCACTATTTCCATGGCCATCTTTAATAGCAAACTGTGAGTTTACCAGAGGGTACCCGAAGTGAGATGGTGGTCCGGAAAATGGTGTCTTACTGGGCTGGTTCATGGCAATGGTTGCTGGTGGATTTTCACCGTATTTGTTCTATGGGTCCACCGTGGAGTCTCAACATTTACCACCGAGATAATTTGTTGGATGATCAGAGTTGAATGTCACAATTCAGGTGACGTCCAATGAAACTAATCTGCCACATGGCCAATCTTGGATGGATTCTCTGGATTGTGCTGAAGTTTCTCAGTACATATCACCCTTTAAGCTGAACGAGTAGAACATAAAGAACCCATTCGAAGTTCCGAGAAATGCTGTGGCTTGCATTTTTTTCAAATTTCCAAGGTGTTGGTGCTCAATCCTATCCCGCAGAATCTCATCAGCTCGACCGCATGTTTATTTTGATTCATTTGTATTTCAATGTGGGACCCCCAAGACATGTAGAAGTTGGTTTTGACCAGGTTAACTAGTGTATATGGTGATGACACCAAAAATAAAAACGGGTGAACATGAACCAGCAGACAAAACTGGGCCAGCAAACTGGGGCGGGAACCGCGGCACTCTATCATTTGTAAATTTACCAATGATCCCGCTGTCCCATTGTTGACTATTGGGCTCCGGGTTTCTGGTTCCCGGAATGGTGTTTCTGGTTCCCGTGGTGTTTTTTTTCCCGGAATGGTGTTTTCAGTTCCCGGAGGGCTCGGTGGTTCCCAGGGTGTTTTCAGTTCCCGGGCTGGGGTGTTTTCAGTTCCCAGATTCGGGCTTGCTGTTCCCCGAATGGTGTGTTGGGCGCCCGTGGGTGTTTTCTGTTCCCGGAATGGTGTTTCCGGTTCCCGGCCAGAGGGGACGGCATGGCGGTGTTTGTGGTTCCCGTGCGGTGTTTCTTCTTGCTTCTTCTTGCTTCTCTGCTTTTCTTTGTTCGTTGCTTCCTTCCTTTTTTTTTCCTTTTCTCATTTCTTCCGCTTCTGCCTAGCTTCCTGTTATTTTTGTTTCCTTTCCTCCGTTCCTGCCTTCCCCCTTCCCTTTCTTGCTTCCTGCCCTTGCTTCCTTCCCATCCCTTTCCTTTCCGTTTCGTCCCCTTCCAGAATTCCCTTCCCGTACCTAGCCTTCCTTTCTCTAATGCCTTTCCCCGTCCCTTCCCTTCCCTTCCCTAATGCCCATCTCTTCCGTTCCCTTCCCTTCCCTTCCCCTCGCTTCGCTTCCCTCCTTTCCCTTCCGTTCCCTTCCCTTCCCCCCCGTCCCTATACTACCACCACCAGCACCAGCACCAGCACCAGCACTAGCAGTAGCACCACCACCACCATCACCACCACCAGCAACAGCAACAGCAACACAGCAACAACAGCAACAGCAGCAGCAGCAGCAGCAACAACAACAACAACAACAAAAAACAACAAAAACCAACAAACAACAAACAGCAAACAACAAACAACAAACAACAAACAACAACAAACAACAAACAACAACCAACAACAAACAACAACAACAACCAACAACAACAACAACAGCAGCAGCAGCAACAACAACAACAACAGCATGCTGTCCCTTGTTCCATGGCTTCAGCTGGTTCAATCACCACCACCAACAACACCAACACCAACACCAACACCAACACCAACACCAACACCAACACCAACAACAACAACAACAACAACAACCACAACCACAACCACAACCACAACGACGACAACCACAACCACAACGACGACAACGACAACGACAACGACCACAACGACAACAACAACGACAACAACAACAACAACAACTACAACAACAACAACAGCAACAGCAACAGCAACAGCAACAACCAACAACCAACAACCAACAACCAACAACCAACAACCACCAACCACCAACCACCAACCACCAACCACCAACCACAACCAACAACAACCAACAACAACCAACAACAACCAACAACAACCAACAACAACCAACAACAACCAACAACAACCAACAACAACCAACAACAACCAACAACAACCAACAACAACAACAACAACAACGACAAAAACGACATGTTGTTCCTTGTTCCATGGCTTCTTCTGGTTAACTGTGCGCACTGCACGCACGCAGGGTTGATACGACTTTCACGTCCATCGATACGACAGAAACCTACCCCCTAGTAGCATCCAGGAGTAGTTAAGTTATAGAGCATGGTTTTCAGACCCGGCCTCGTCGAACTGCTGGGAACCCAAAACACCCAAGCGGGAACCCAAAACACCGTGGGAACCAGACACACCTTTGAGGGAACCACAAACACCCTCCCGGGAACTGAAAACACCATTCCGGGAAAAAAAACACCACGGGAACCAGAAACACCATTCCGGGAACTGGATACACCCAACCCGAAGATTACCCTCTGGTAAACTAACATAAATGGGTAAAATGGGTACCTCAATGCTATGTTATAACAATTATGTTGACCATAGGGTAATTTTTATGCTAATGTGATTTTCCCTCTGGTAACCTTTGGCCATGGAACATCACAATGTTATAAATGGGTACCTCAACTATTTTGTCTGGGCCATGGTTTTAATGTCGCAAACATTTTTGGTCATTACCAGGGGGTAGCCCCCATTACCATCTGGTCATGACTAACAGTTCGCCATGGAAAATCACCATGCTATTAAGAACGGTAAACCATCTATATCTATGGGCCATCTATACCATGGCTATGTGAGTCATAACCAGGTTGGGTAAATCACCATTAATCACCATTACATCTCATTAAAACCCATAAAATCACCATTTTCCTATGGTTTTCCTATGGTTTTCCTATGTTAAATAACCAGGTTGGGTACCCCTATTATAATATCGCCCCCTGGTGATGGCTGAATCCTCCGAGTCATCACCATGATAAAGCCTGTTGATGGATAAAGCCTCGTATTCTCCGAAAAAACAAAAATGATTAAGTCTATCTTTAGCTTCAACATGCTTCAACATGCTTCAACATCAACCATTTCAAATGTAACAAGAATATTCATTATTAATATCAATTAATGCCGTTTATCATTGTTGATCATTAATTAATTTCCATTATCCAAATCATCATTAGCACGATAAAAATAGTGATAACAATTACACAAATAATCGTCATCGTCAAAGCCATGAACATCCGATTGCAATCCCATGTTTGAGGGGAAACATTGCCATGTTAGGTGACTATACACACATGATGATTTGATAATCTTACCATGAACCTCATTACCCTCTGGTAAACTAACAGTTTGCTATGGAAAGTCATCATTTTTAATGGGTAAGTCCACTATAAATGGCCATTTACCAGAGGGTATTACATGTAAATTTCCCTTAGAATGGGCGTACCTCTAGTTCTCATCCATTTCACTAGGATTTCCCACGTTTCAAAAACCAAGTCCACTTTAAGGGGTACCCCCTTGACTATAGAAACCACCATTAGTAATGGTTCATAGTCATGGTTAAGTTGGTTAAGAATGATGGACATAATGGTGAAGTAATGCACAATAAGATGATGATTATATACATTCCATATCATCCCGTCCACGTTTAAGTACAGGCACCACCCCTTGTTGAATACCAAGGCAGTCGTGGGCAACCTTGGCTTTCGCGAAAAGGCGATTTTTTGTGCAAACAAATATGGAGAAATCGTGTGGATTATTGTCATGTTTGTTGTTATAACAATGTAATGGATAGTACATAAGGGATGTAATGACATAATATCAGATAATTTCATTACATCGTTATAACAACAATAATAACAATACTAATACAATAATACAATCGTAATTCTTGGGATGTCACGGTATCCAGTATGTGCACATGTAGTATACTAACCCGTACCACAATGATGGATTTGGCTTTACACTATGGTTGCTTTTTGCGGGTTGTACTTGGTTATATACGATTGGAATACAGCTTATTTGTAACCAACCAACATCAATGGGGTATATAAAGCCATAATTCTGTAACTTTTGAATAGTGGTGAATATAATAATGAGGATGTAATGGGAACACATGAAGAAAACATGGGTGACATTCAACCTGACCTAATTCTATAGTGGATTTAACAGTCAACAACAGGGATTATAAGCCTGGACAATTATAATAAGGCAAAACTAAAAAGCAATGGGACAGCTATGGATGACTTGTGATGACTTTATAGATCATTTATGGATGGCTTTCAATTGCCATGTATTGCCATGTTTGAAGGAGGGCACCCCCGGCTGAGAACATGATTTGCCAGTGAGATTTTGTAATTTTCCCCACATGTTCACACAAAGACATGGAATAAGTCCTCCTACAGAGTATAGGCATTCCACAGGTCTCACCAATACTGGTTGGTGGTTTCAACCATCTTGAACAGTATTAGTCAATGGGAAGGATTATCCCATATATTATGGGAAAATAAACATGTTCCAAACCACCAACCAAATAGTGCCTCGCTTTAGTATTTCTTCCAACTTTTCGGGAGTCACAACTGAGAGTTGTTTTTTTTCATCAAAGCGTTTTTTTCTCTATCACCTATATCCATCTATATCCTATATTATCCATCAAAACCTATATAAATCTGTCAGTGATAAACGTCCATTTGCCAACGTCCCTTAGTTGGATCTTTGGTGTTCACCCAGGGATGATGGTTCAGCCCGGCTGAACCAAGGATGCCGCAGTACAAGAAAACACCATCGTTGATGGCGAGGTCAGTTACATCAACAGCGATCTTTGTAGCTGACTTGTGTATTTGTGAAGTGCATAGATTCATTTTGTGCTTTTTTTTGTTACGCTTCCCGTGGGGCGGGAACTGCCTTCATCATGATAGTCATCATGATCATCACCATTTGCCATCGTCATCGTCAGCATCATCCTTTCATCTTAGTTAGGAGAACCTCTGAAGGCCCCTTGATCCATCGTTACAACCGTCGTTTCTTCTTTTGTGAAGGCATGCCTGTGCTAGTTTCCTAGTATCTATTTGATTTTAGCCAACATGTTGGTGCAAACTCTAGTTATATAATTGCTGTAAAGAAATAAACAAAGACACAAGTAATGCCAATGGCGGAATATACAATGTATACACATACTAGAGACAAATCCATAGTTTGTGCTAGCAATCTATACACACCCTTTTCCATCTCAAGTAGCATCTGTGCAATGTGCAAGCATGTTGAGCTTGGCAAAGCTATGAAACATCACAATTTTTACTAGGTAAATCATCGAACTGAATTAACCTTTCCCATTAGCTGTTTTAAATTAACGGAGGGTATGTAAACCCACTGCGTGCCCCAAAAGGACTCAATCTCAGTCTGTGGCTATCCAATCAGGTGTACTTGGCCGCTGGCTTTTTGGAAAGGAATGGGAAAACGTCATTCCAATGGTTCATCATGTGGGGTTTTCCATAAATGGGGGTACCCCCAACATTGTTAACATGGATGGTTAATGATGGAAAATCCGAAAATAAAATGGATGATTCGGGGGTACGACCATTTCAGGAACCCTCCATGTGTTCCCATGTTGTGCCAGTGTTCATGAATTGTCGGTCCATCTTCCACTTTGGGACAAACACATATCTAAAATTATCTAAACATAGATAGATGTACAGCCGACAAACTATATATATATGTATATATATAGTCATACATAATATCTCTGTATGAATCCTCAGAACATATCCATATCCATATATATATACTGTATATATATGTATACTGTATATATATATTTATATATATATATATATACACTGTATATATATATAAGGTGCTAAACCCAATGCTAATCTGAAATTCTAGGCTTGAAATATCTCCATTTCAGGGCCATTCAGGACGGTGGCATTGGGTATGCCATATTCCCTCTGGGTTTAAATCTGAAAATGATGGGAAAAACGAAACAAATCCACCGTTGAATGTGTATATTTTCAGACACACCCACATCACATATCAAGGTTGTTAAATCCCATTTAGAGATCCTATCATATCCACATGTTCCTAGTTAAATCACCATTATTCATGGCTAAACCCATATCTATACCTTTCGGATTTTTGTAATTTTGAAAACACGGCCTATTGAGTTGACTCATCTACCCCAAACAGGGTGAGTTTCTGCAGCTCACCATCATTGACTAACCAACTATCATATTCCATTAGTAATTTAATTCATGAATCATTCACCCACTTATGTAACTTGAATTATCCAATATACTACCAATCATCATGAATAATCATCATAATTCATCACCAATCACCATGAATCGCCACTATATACTTATTCGCCTCAGTGGCGAGAGAGTCCCAATTCAGTCTCGCCACCTCTGGCAGAAGTAGGATGGTGGCAAGGCTTTGCCTGGCAAAGGCAGCGCAAGAAAAAACATATTTCTATATCTATATATTTAAATATGTCTATGTATATTATATAAATACGTATATATATATATATATCTATAATGTGTATTATATCTATAATGTGTATACATCCAAATATATGTATATGCATGTACGTGTGTATGTTTGTATCTATGCCTGCGCGCATGTCTGTATGTCTGCCAACTTAAAAAGCACCCATGGATCCACGGGGAATATGCCGAACCCTTGGGAAAAAATATTGATTAAGGGGGTGATCAATAAGTATGATACTGGTTGGTGGTTTTAACCATCTTGAAAAAAATGTCAATGGGAAGGATTAACCCATATATTATGGAAAATTAAAAATGCTTAAAACCACCAACCAGGATATAAGTGGGATGGTTAACGGAGATTAACGGAGATTAACGGATAATAGTGGATATGAGTGGCTCATACTTTGTGGTTCATTCCACTTCGCATACATGTAGGTTATATCGCTGGTGTTGCTGATTAGATAAGATGCGATAAGTAGGGTTAATCACCTGTTGTAGCCCACTTACTAAGTAATCCCATCCCCCTAATATAAACACCCCCTTAGAAACCATGATTTAATGAAAATTTCCACATAATTGGGACCATTTGGGGGGTGTTTAATATTAGGGTAGGGGATTAGGATGAACAAGTGACAATCTGAGCTGAGTTGGTTTGCAAATGGGGTGCTCAAAAAATCACCAACGGTTGTAGCATCATAATTGAGGGTACCCCACAATGGATGGTTTAATGGGAAAATCACAATTTTATAAGGGAAAACCACCATTTTATAATGGAAAATACTATATTAACATGAATGATTTAGGGGTACCCCTATTTCAGGAAACCTCCATCTGATTCGCTAACAGAAACCTCACTTGAATGATTGTATGGGTATCTCCAATTTTCAGGTGACACCCTTATGAATTTCTGTAAGTGACGAAATGAAGATAAAAAACCCTTGAGATATGGACTTGATCAACACCATACACCGTCAAGTCACATTTTAGGCGGTCTGGGGGACTGAACTTGATTAGTTTGGGATGCCTGTTTTTAGAGTTCCACCGGTATATTGGTGCAGACATACATATCTATGTCTACCATATTTCATACATTGTGAATGGTATATTCACCCCGCATTCGAACATGTCGGGATAACTAGGGTGAAAAAATGCAGTCTGTGATTGCCTATATTGCAATGTTTCTTGCTAGGCCCTCCATGTTTGGTGGCGACTAAACGGATGTTTGTGTGCAATGACAAAATCGGATCGAAACAACTGAAAATCCCACTGAATGATCTTCATTTTCATATAGCTGGGATTTTTGGGTGTTCCTTGATCAGCAAAGATGACTTTCCAGCCACAAATCAGTCACGGGCTCATTGTTGTGAGATGGTGCTCTTTAGTTACAACACATTACATTACATAGCTTCAGCCATTTAACTACAGCCATTTCATCACCAAGAATCCAACTAACAGTTCGCCATGGTATAGATGGCCCATTGAAATAGATGTTTGACCGTTCTTAATAGCATGGTGATTTTCCATGGCTATGTTAAATAACCAGAGGGTATTTTTTGTTGATAAACAATTCCTACAATGTGAGGCTCCCCAGTTATGTTTGTTGGTTTAGATTCGCCCCAGTAACTAGTTCGTTATTTGCGTACCATAAACCATAGTTGAATTGGAGTGATTAGTGCACCAACTGAACGCTATCGTGGCCGGGGGCCTCACATTGCATAAACCAATTGGTTTACTGTGTTTATAAACCATCATTAACAATCATTAACCATCATTAACCATAAATTATTAACCATTATGAACCATCATTAACCAGTGGTTAAACTCACCGAAAATCTGGCACGAAAATCTGCCAACACACTGTGGCAGACATTGTACCTGACAAGAGCTCAAACCAGAAGTCTCCAAGCTCCTGTGGCCGCTGGTACACTGCCAATTTTTTGCAAAAACTTTTCATGGTACTATATTATATATAGAGGCATTTTTCTATGTGGGCCTGAAGATGGGGTATTTACCCATAGAATGACCATTGGACATATGATTCACCAAGATATGGTACGGGGTACCCTATTTTCAAAGCCGTATGGGTTTTATCCACTGTTAACAATGGATGGAATTTGGATTGAACCAAAGCTAGGACCAGCTAGGAGAAAATACACAACGGCTTTCTATGGGCTTTACCCTTCGGTATCAAACAATGCTAGCTGGGAAATGCCCCTTCACTAGCCATGGAGGGGAAAATCCTGGAACTCAATACGGAGGGTTATGTTTGCTAAATACCAACCACCCATTTCTGCATCACCGTGGATGGTACCCATTGGGTTTTTACGGCACATTAGAACATGGCTGCCCAATGGTGGGTTGATAACCATGAAAGTTGCTGCTGATTTGACCCATGAAAAAGGTAGGCTAGGTTTCCAGGTCAGAAAAGAATCACCTGCTCCAGCCATATTTCCTCTACACACATCACCTTTAATTGCAGGGTGGACCAGTGTTTAACCACCAAAAAAATCGGGGAAATCTGTTGAGACCCCTGAATTTACAGAGCGAAATTTGGAGAAACACAAACCTTCCCAGCTAAAACCAAGATTTCAAGATATGGAACAAATCTTCATGTCTGGACATACCAGTGTGTATATATATATATAATATTCATCAGCATAAACCCTCCGTGTCGTACCAGGGTACGAGCCGTTTATAAATTGGAAAATCCACAGACATGTACTTGGCGATCATCCCACGAAAGATATGATAGGTAGATGATAACACCCCCGTCGAAAGTGGATGATCACCCTACTTGGCAAATTTACCACCAGGTCGAAAATAATACAACATGATTAGTATATACATATACAAATATATGTATATATATATATATGTGTCTAATTTGTTCATAGATGCCTTTTAGTATAGCAAATAATATAGTACTAGATACAGTACCCCTGGTAATCAAACAGAGTATATTATTTCAGTACTATATTATTTGCTTTTTCTTATTTGGTAAAATAGTACTGTATTAGCAAATAATATCTGGTTGGTGGTATACCTACCCCTCTGAACAATATGAAAGTCACTTGGGATGATTCTTCCCAAAAAATACGGAAAACAAAATGTTCCAAACCACCAACCAGATGGTGATTTAATGTATAGCTTATCCATTTTACAGGGATGTAAGCAGGTTTTCCATAGGAGTTGAGGATTTCCCAAATCGATAACTCAAGGGTCGCTGGACAGGTTCGAATCGTCTCTTGGAGGATCATCCATGGATTGTAAATGGTTCAACAGTTGTCACATGGAAAAACATGGTTATCAATAGAAATACAATGGAAATTCCTATGGTTGATCCATTTCCCAATTTTTTATAGCTTAACCAAGGAGGTTTGCAATAGAAAAATAAGGTGCACATAGGCGCACTAACTTGGATTTGCGAAAGAGATGGCATTTTACGAAAGTATGACATACTATCGGTAGATTCCCCAAATACTGCACTTAACCAATGGGGAATTAACAAATCACCTACAACGAATCCAAAATTACTGCGTCATCGAACGTTTCCCAGCTGGTCATCTTTGATTACCAACGGGGTAACCATTACACCAATCATTCTTGGGGCAAAACCCCATGATGATCCTATGAAAGACCACATTTATTATATTTATTTACATGTATATTATATACAGTAATTGAGTTTGAACTATGGCTAATGCGGTCAATCACCACCTACCCAAAAACATACTTATATATATATTGTCATATTTAAACCGGATATTGTTGATCAGTTCTGTCCCATTATATTTCGACGACATCACCATTTACCATCTGGTTATTTAAGACATAGCCATGGAAAATCACCATGCTATTAGTAGGTAAACATAGGTAAACCATCTATTTCTATGGGCCATTTTCCATGGCTATGTTAAATAACCAGAGGGTATTTTTTGTTGATAAACAATTCCTGTTCATAGTGGTTAAACTCACCGCATGTTTTTCCATTCCATCCCGTTATTCTCTGGGCAACACATCGTCGCAGCCACACCTCTGCTGTGTCCCAGTGCACATGCTCCATGTTGCCTGGGAAGTGGGCAGCTGCCCTCGAAATGAAGCGCCGCTGGGGGAGGTTGCAGCCGCATTTCTTCAACATTTCGGGTTTCTGGAACACTTCAGGAGATGTCAAAGGACCTGTTGAGACCCAAAAATGACATATTCGTTCTTTGTTTTGTTGTTTTTTTGTGCCACTCAAAGTACTTGAACACATCCTCTATAGCCATTTAGACTAGGACAATGATGATGAACCAGTGGATGAAATGGGCAACTCCCTTTTCAAACATATCCATATTTAGGAATCAAAGTACCAGCAGGATTGAAGTACTTTGAAACTAGACTTGTTTTTTTGACTAAAATCCTTGCTGCATGTTTCTACCCTCCTTTTTAATCAACATGGCTAGCTGGGAAATCTGTCATCAATTCCTGATGGGAAAATGTTCTGCAAAAATGTAGGGTTTTCCCGCAAGCCATGCTTGAGAAGGTATCCAGTACGCAAGACACGCTAACCATATTGGAACCACTAACAAGTTGCTATCCTCAGAGTTTCTGTTGCTTTGTGGATATCTTCTTCTGGGTTGGTTTATCCCACTATATCCCATTTATCTGGTTATATCTCATCATATCATATACAGTATCCCATTATATCCCGTTTATCATATGCTAATAAATCCCATTTTTCTCCCTTATCCCTGCAACTAAATCCCAAAAAATATCCTAATACATCCCACGGATGTGCCTCCCAGTTATGTGAATGTGGGTCTACAACCCCCATTAACCATAAACATCCATAAACCATCATTCATTGGTAGATGAAGTATCGAAGGAAGTTTAGAAGTCAAACTTCCGACAATATGGACAGATGAAAAGCAGAGATGGAAAGGGTCAGAGAGAAGAGAAGAGTAGAATAGAAGAGCAGAAGAGAGAAGATGACAGAAGAGAAAGAGTCAGAAGAAAGAAGATGCAGGTGCGCGAAAAGGTAGGAAAGTCGCTCGAAAAGTAAGCTCGCCAAAGCGGCGGGTGCGGAGCCATCTTGCCAGATGAGAGATGAAAAATTGCACGCCTTTGTGGCGCGAAGCACATTTCGAAGTCAACAAGCACAAAACACACCATTTTCGGACCACTTTTGGAAGTTGAGATGTCGAAAAAGTGCACGCCGTTGTGGCGCGAAGCACATTTCGAAGTCAACAAGCACAAAACACACCATTTTCAGACCACTTTTAGAAGTTACGATGTCGAAAAGGTGCACGCCGTTGTGGCGCGAAGCACATTTCGAAGTCAAAATGTTAAAGACAACAAGGGTTCGGACCACTTTTCGAGGTTCAGATGCCATTTCGCGTGGCAGGCGCAAGGGATTGTGCACTTTGTCGAAAGTGAGCAAAACGTGAGGGCTTTGTAGCATTTCCAAAAGCGATGGCAGGCGTGGGACACTTGAAGAGGATCTTCAAAGATGCATTTCGCGTGGCAGGCGCAGTACAAAAGACATGTTCATCAGAGATGTTAGGAGGTCAGGGCGCTGATTTCCTGAGATGGGTTGCATTTTGGAGCATCAGATCTTCAGGTTTGCTAAGATGATTTTGCGTGACAGGTGCAGCACTTCGTATGACCTGGCATCACTTTGCACAGTACTTTCGACAGGTGGACTGGAAACATCGCAAGCCGCATTGGTACGAGGCTGTCCGCTCTGCACTCAACTTTCCATTTTTGAAGGAAGCCTCGCAGAAATCATTTGTTTTTGATGTTGTCAAATTCACAAATTGAAGAAGTCTCGCAGAACTGCTTCGTTTTGGATGTTGTCCAGTTCAGAAAATTAAAGGACCGGATAACCCCACAAGTCAACTTCTTCCTAAAATGAGCTTCAATGGTTTCAGCGGGGACAGGGAAGGAAGGAAAGACAAAGGAGGTGGTGAAAGATCGTGTATGTATATGTATGTATGTATGTAGGTATGTAGCTGGTTGTCAATGCAACTATGGAAGACACGACACAGTCACAGTCACAGGCAAACACCATGACACTAACTGTGCAGGTTTTTCCAAAGATGTCAAGCAACCGCACAGTTCAGAAACACATAGGCGTCGCGATTTTTTCCACATAAGTGTCGCTTCGCCACGCATCTGCATACGCTTCTTCCCACATTGGGTCAAAGCTCTGGCTCCCGACGTCATAGATTGCTTGACTCATTGTCGGGCCGTGAGACACGCGCCTGTCCTCCGTCCAAGAAGCTCACTGGAAGGGCCCCTGCGGCAGTTGCAAAGACACAGAGGCTTCATGCGTGCTATCTTGTTACTACATGACAGCTGCAATAGCTCGGCACGGGATGAACCCCAAGAACCAATCTATTCTACATAGCTTAACCACAGTAGATATCTTATTGATCAACCGTATAGATGGCCCACACTACGCCGCAAGTGCAGTTCCCGGCCTGCGCATTACTTCACCATTGACAAGCAACACCTGGCAGCACAGAAAAAGGTTCAAGACGAAACCACAAAATAAAATATATAGTTCTTTGGTAGAGATCCACAGCGCAGCCTGCAGTTGTTGGCATCGACTGCAACAGAGCGGAAAAGTACCTGGCCGCAAAAGGACAGAACGTGTATATGCAGCTAGCTATCAAAGCAACATGCGTAGAAACGATACAATGCAGTCTGTTGCACGAATTGTCACCTTTTCGCTGTGATCCAAAGCCTGGCAAGACCTGTAGCACTTCTTCCTGCAGTGGGGCAAACCCTACACATGTCACGAACGGTTTTGATTTGGCCGTCGCGACCCCACTCTTCCCACATGGGGTCAACAATGGGTCTAGGAGAAAACGAAGAGAGTACTACGATGACTTCAACCGGTGACCTACGAAGAAAACCGCGCCTGCCCTAAGGTCACAGGCCCGATGACGATACCAGAACGGAAAAGTACCTGGCCGCAAAAGGACAGCGATGTATATGGAGCTGGTTGTCAAAGCAACAAATACAGAAAGGATAAAATTCAGGTTGCCGCACGAATGCCACCTTTTCGTCGTGATCAAAATCTTCACAAGGTCTGTAGCCCCTCTTCCCACGGTGGGGCAAAATGCAGACATGTCACGAACATTTGTAATGTAGCCGTGGCGACTCCAGTCTTCCCACATTGAGTCAACCATGGGTCCCGCAGCTAACAAAAGGTGCGGTGGCCGTCGTCATTCTCATGTCTTTCCACACTGAGTCAATCATGAGATGAGAGTTGACAAAAGATTCGCAGGCCGGCCCCACGCATGTCTTCCCACCCAGTGCCATGAGTGCCACGCCTGCCACGCAAAACGAAGGTAGATGTGAGTTTGTGCCACGCCTGCCACGCAAACCGACAGTAGATGTGAGTTTGTGCCACGCCTGCCACGCAAAGCGCCGCGGCGTCACAGGCGCCCAAGCCAGTCCAAGCGCGCCACCCAGTGCCATGAGTGCCACGCCTGCCACGCAAAACGACGGTGGATGTCAGGTTGTGCCACGCCTGCTACGTGAAACGAAGGTAGATGTGAGTTTGTGCCACGCCTGCCACGTGAAACGAAGGTGGATGTCAGGTTGTGCCACGCCTGCCACGCAAAGTGCCGCGGCGTCACAGGCGCCCAAGCCAGTCCAAGCGCGCCACCCAGTGCCGTGAGTGCCACGCCTGCCACGTGAGGTCACAGGCGCCCAAGCCAGTCCAAGCACGCCACCCAGTGCCATGAGTGCCACGCCTGCCACGCAAAACGACGGTAGATGTGAGTTTGTGCCACGCCTGCCACGCAAACCGACAGTAGATGTGAGTTTGTGCCACGCCTGCCACGCAAAGTGCCGCGGCGTCACAGGCGCCCAAGCCAGTCCAAGCGCGCCACCCAGTGCCATGAGTGCCACGCCTGCCACGTGAAACGAAGGTAGATGTGAGTTTGTGCCACGCCTGCCACGTGAAACGAAGGTGGGTGTGAGTTTGTGCCACGCCTGCCACGCAAAGTGCCGCGGCGTCACAGGCGCCCAAGCCGGCCCAAGCGCGCCACCCAGTGCCATCTGTCCCACGCCTGCCACGCAAAACGACGGTGGATGTGAGTTTGTGCCACGCCTGCCACGTGAAACGAAGGTGGGTGTGAGTTTGTGCCACGCCTGCCACGCAAAGTGCCGCGGCGTCACAGGCGCCCAAGCCAGTCCAAGCGCGCCACCCAGTGCCATGAGTGCCACGCCTGCCACGTGAAACCAAGGTGGATGTGAGGTTGTGCCACGCCTGCCACGCAAAGTGGCGCGGCGCCCCAGGCGCCAAATCCCGGCCCAAGGGCGCCACCCAGTCCCATCTGTCCCACGCCTGCCACGCAAAACGACGGCAGATGTCAGTTTGTGCCACGCCTGCCACGTGAAACGAAGGTGGATGTCAGGTTGTGCCACGCCTGCCACGTGAAACGAAGGTGGATGTCAGGTTGTGCCACGCCTGCCACGCAAAGTGCAAAGTTGTTGTTGTTGTTGTTGTGTGTGTGTGTCTCTGTGTGTGTGTGTGTTGTGTGTTGTGTGTTGTGTGTTGTGTGTTGTGTGTTGTGTGTGTGTGCCTGTGAGAGTGTGTGTGTGCCTGTGAGAGTGTGTGTGTGTGTTGGTGTTGTGTGTGTGTGTTGTGTGTTGTGTGTTGTGTGTTGTGTGTTGTGTGTTGTGTGTGTGCCTGTGAGAGTGTGTGTGTGTGCCTGTGAGAGTGTGTGTGTGTGTTGGTGTTGTGTGTGTGTGTTGTGTGTGTGTTGTGTGTTGTGTGGTGTGTGTTGTGTGTGTGTGTTGTGTGTGTGTTGTGTGTGTGTGTGGAGGAGGAGGAGGCGGAGCCCGGGATACAGAATCAAAAACAAGAACCCCACACAAAGATGTGGGGAATGAAGAAGTCCCGCAGAATTGTTTCGTTTTTGATGTTGTCAACGTCGAAAAATGAGGAAGTCTCGCAGAATTGCTTCGTTTTTGATGTTGTCAACTTTGAAAAATGAGGAAGTCTTGCAGAATTGCTGCGTTTTTGATGTTGTCAACTTTGAAAAAAAAGAACTCTCGCAGAATAGCTCAGTTTTCAATCTTGCAGATAAAAAGGTAGACAGATAGATATATAGATACACAGATAGACAGATAGACAGATAAACAGATATATAGATAGATAGATAGATAGATAGACAGATAGACAGATAGACGGATAGACAGATAGACAGATAGACAGATACACAGATAGACAGATAGATAGATAGACAGAAAAATACATAGATAGATAGATAGATAGATAGATAGATAAATACATAGATAGATAGATAGACAGATAGATAGATAGACAGATAGATATATAGATACACAGATAGACAGATAGACAGATAGACAGATAGACAGATAGACAGATAGATAGATAGATAGACAGATAGACAGATAGACGGATAGACAGATAGACAGATAGACAGATAGATAGATAGATAGACAGAAAGATACATAGATAGATAGATGGATAGATAGACAGACAGACAGATAGATAGATCGATAATCAGAGAAAGAGAGAGAAAGAGAGAGAAAGAGAGAGAAAGAGAGAGAAAGAGAGAGAAAGAGAGAGAGAGATAGAGAGAGAGAGAAAGAGAGAGAAAGAGAGAGAAAGAGAGAGAAAGAGAGAGAAAGAGAGAGAAAGAGAGAGAAAGAGAGAGAAAGAGAGGAGACCTCAATCACCTTTCGCTCCATCAGTGGCTTCGCTCTGCCATCCGTGATTCACAACAACCAACCTCTCCTATAGGTTTACTATTTTTGAAACTTCCGCCACCGCCTTGTGCGGTACTACTGGTAAACATTAACAAACCAATGATGGTTTATATAATTTCTATGGTTTATGTTTGTTAATGTCTGTTATATCTACCATAAACATCCATAAACCCTAGAATTCCGCCACTTTTTTTAAGGCAACTGAACGCTATCCAACAGGGGACCCATCTTGCACCATATGGAGGTTTCCAAAAATAGGGGTCCCCAATAGCTGGATGATTTATAATGGAAAATCCTATTATATAAAGTGGATGATGTAGGGAAATCCCAATTTTAGGAAACCTCCATGTGGGATTCCCACAATTCGATTACGATAATTCCCGATATATTGGATAAGATAAGCGTCCTGTACAACCAATCAAGCAGGACTTTGTGGATTTCGATGTAAATCCCATCAAACCTTCTGCAGGTGATGCTTAAATCATCATGAAACATCATATAAATCACGGTCCTCTATATCCATTTGAGCAGTGTGAAATAATTTCCTCTATCATTCCATTGTACTGCCTGGTTTTTTTCGGCATTTGCCCATTGGATTTTTATGTAATCCCCAATATGAAGGGTAGTAAGATCCCCTATGATCATTGACCAACCAGGGTTTGAACACTGCTGGTGTCGAGAGACCCATCTCCCAGGCGGCCACCTGTGGGCGCCCAACGAGAAGTCAACGGTGATGGTAGGCATCTAATGGGGATCTAAGTAGAATAAATGGTAGGTTTAGTGGGATTAACAAATATAAAAAAATAAAACATGGGCATTTCACCATTAAAATTGATCCTTATCATGAAATTTCACACAAATATATATTGTTGATTCAAGCATGACAAATGGGGATTTCAATGGACTTCATTAGGAAACTGTGAGGAGTTTTTGTGGGACATCACAGATTTCAACATGTCTGAACGCATCGGAAAAATCTGGAATAAGGAAACATCAATAGGACACAATGGAATTTCCCAAGAATGTGGGTGTTTTCGGTTTCGACTGTCCTACCAGGTTTGGGATATATACATACTTTGATGGTTGGTTCATTTAATATATGGTTAGATTGTAATAATGAGCGGTTGTTTGTGCAAATTCTTCAAAACAGGTAAATCATTCATGAACATCAACAAATTGTGATTTACCAAGGGAAACGACGATGTAGGGGTTGTACCTTTTTATGGGGGCATGAAGAACTATCATGGGGATATGCTGGGGTATATAAGCAGCAACATGATACTAGGAAATTTATAGGATGTGGTTCGCTTGACCAAATCACTCGGTAATGGCCTCTTTAGTGCCAAATATTGGATCTTATTCCTACCCTCGTCTTGGGTCAAGTGGAAACGTCAAAAACTAATTTGGGCAAGTCTCAACATGAAGTTTATATAAGCATCAAATCACCAATTGATGGGAAAACTGAGGATTCACAATGAGATTTAGGGATACCCTATTTTCAGACAAACTCAGAGGATCCCAGAGGGGTAGGTCTAAACAATGCTGAATATGTGCATGAAGATGCAAGAATGCAAACCAAAACGGACAATCATGGCATCAATTCTCCTGGTCGAAAACATCCAGTGAGTTGAGACCCCAAAACTCAATAGTGTTGAATTTAGTTGTGTTGGAATTGTGTTGTTCAATTTTCAAGCCGTGTTGCACAAGTTGTGATTCACACATTCATGTTTGAACAGTCTGGACAAACTTACATTCTTTAAACATGAGTATGTGCCAACACGACAAAGATCCTCAATACTCTAGTCGTGGATGTCTATTGTTTACACAACCAACACTATGCACATCACCATTCTGGCCTCTTTGTTTCGATTCCTGACTGACTCATCTCTATATCGATTGCTTGCATCTTGTTCTTCAATACGGCTGTTTGATGTCCGCATTCCCACATCAAATGTGTGTTGCTCCAGACTTTCATGTTTGTATTTGATTGTTATCACCGTGCCTTGCTGCTTACTAGATAGTTCAGTTTTGGTTCCAACATGTTTCAACTGCATACATCATTTCACTCGAAAAGTGGCCATAAACCTCTGAGTCTTCCCCCATCGTTTGGTATGAGTAATAGGGACAGTTCATGTGTCAAAATGATGCGTATATACATACATACATATATAATTACATATATATATATATATCACGTTGTGGATAGCCAAAGCAACTGATCAGCTTCCACAGCAGCGGGCAGGGCTCATTGATTTTCGGCCTATGGATTGTGCTCCGTGGGCTGCGGTCAGTCCTGAGAATCCTGTGCAAGATGAAAGTGTCACAACTGCAGTCAAGTGAAGCCTATTGCATGTACCATTCACATGTATTTGGAATACGGTAATAAAAAACTCTTGCAACTGTTTCTACTGTTTTCATGGGGATCATCAACATCTAAGAGCCTAAATCCTCATACGCCGGGTCAGCTTGCCTTTGCCTATACTGTTTCTGCAATGTTTTTTTTTGGTGTGTCATTACATTACATGGCTGGTTTATAGGAGTTCCTGTACCAGGTCATAATGATCCCCGCATGTTGATAATTATGGAGGACAAGCCCTAACATATAGATATTCCAAGTATTGCTAGTTAGTATCCGATCTTAAATCATCAAAAAATATTTTGCTATGCCCATCACATCTCAACATTATAGCTTGTATAAACCCATCTCCCTAATATTGTACAGTGAATGCGCTGCTGAGAAACTTCAGATGTGCTTTGGAGAGTGAATTCATGTGCTTGGACTCCAATGGCGTGCCCCGCAGCCCATCTCACCAATCGCTTCCAGTAGCCCCGGTGCCACTTGATGTTCTCTATCCATCTGCGTAAATGATCTTCTGGGGCTCCCAGGTCGCAACAGTGATTCAATTGTCTCCACATCCACTGCAGATCGTCCTGTGTAAGGGCAATCCATTGCACATCCTGGTTCCAAAGACCCCAACGTGCCGTTCCCCCAATCGCCAGGAGGGACCCAAGGCAACGTAGTCGCCTTAGACGAAGCATGGGAGATGACATAGGTAAAGCACCTCTTCATCGGCGATGTGCTCATCTGACTGACACTTCAGCAGCCTCTTTAAAAGGTTAGTAATGATGCCATGCAGGTAGTCTTTGTTTTTGGGAGGCCAATATGAGAGATATCACAATTATGTGACTGATGTAGCTATATTCGTCCCATTTCAAGATGGCTAGACCATCTTACACTCAATTTGTTTAAAGCTTAAGCGACGTTAAACCCTACGAATGTGAACGGGGGATGGGATTATCTTGGTCCACACTCAACCCTACAGCTAGAATCAAAGCTAGGAATAAAATAGTTTCGTTGATATTCATTTGAATGATTCCAAAGATATCTCAGATATTTCCAGCTCCACGGATAATATCCCATGTTATCCCCATTGTACAACCACTCTATCCCCCATGATATCTCCATCAAACAACAATTCCCCACAACAGAACAGTCAAATCCCTTTTTGGAACCCTAAAAGGTTCTTTCCCCCAAACTGCTTGTTGGTTTATTAACCCAAACTATATCGTTATATGGAGGCTTCCTAAAATATGGGTACCCCTAAATCATCCATTATATTTTCGGATTTTCCACTATAAACCATCCAGCTATTAGGGTAACCCCATTTTCGGAAACCGCCATATAGATGTTCATTCATCCCATTCATTCTATTGTTGATGACTGATCAGACTTCTCCATCCTTCTCCCATATTCTCACTACAGCAATCCCCACTTGCTGATTAATTCCCATTGATTTGATGATTTCATATCCCATTGTTCAAAATCCCAGTATTTGATCATAACAGTAATCTGTATCATTCTACATTTATGATATAACATTGCTGCATCATCATTTTTCCATTTTGTATATCCCAGGTGGATCCATAGCACTGCTGCCTTGTCAAAGGCTGTCACCACCTGAAAACCAGCTGCGCGAATCCTGAGCGCCGCAGATCCATGGGATCATGGTCAATCTTAGATACCTAACACAAAAATCTAATAATTAGCTGCAAATATGTATATATGTCAATATATATATATCTGTATGTATATATATATATATACATATGTATGTATTTATGTATGTATGTATGAATGAATGTATGTATGTATGTATGTATGTATGATGTATGTATGTATGTATGTATGTAGGTATGTATGTATGTATGTACGTATGCGTGTATGTATGTATATATGTAAATAAAAAATAATTATATATATATATATATATGTGCGTGTGTAAAAAATGTATAAGTAAGATCTATATATATATAAATAAATGTAAAGCATGTATATATATATTTGGAAAATTCAAAAAATGAATATATATATATGTATAATATATATATAAACATATATGTGTATGAAAATAAATGTAAATAAACAAATATGTGTATGAAAATAAATGTAAATAAACAAATACATATATATATGTAAAACATGTATATAAATAAATAAATAACTAATTATATATATAAATTCATTTATATATATATAAGTAAATAAAGATATATGTATATAGAAATAATATACATATATATATACATATGTATATCAGGACCCCGGGCACAAAGGAACGCATGACAAAAGGTGGTCGCGCTACGCGCTGGCCCAAGCATCCATGAGCGGACCAGGTTCATTTGGGTATCATAGTGGGGCTGCAGGCCATACTTCAGGCTGAAACCTTAGCTGCTTTGCTCATGGGGATGACATGAGATGACCAACCTCCAGGTGACCCAGCAATAGATGGTGAAAAAATTGCCCAAGAATTCGTTGGTGGTTGTTGGTGGTTCAGTTTCATCCTTTAACCCAAGCATTGTTGGGGCCATTCTTATCAGGTGGGTTGGTAGATTATCCATCATGATGGTGATGATGATGGTCATGACGATGATGATGATGATGATGGTAGTTATTATTCTTAGTTTGACTAAAAAAGGATCATTATTGATGATGATGACGATGATAATGATGATGGTTTTTATTTTCAGTTTGACTAAAAAAGGATCATTATTGATGATGATGACCATGATGATGATGATGGTTATTATTGTTAGTTTGTCTAAAAAGGATCATTATTGATGATGATGATGACGACGACGATGATGATGATGGTTATTATTCTTAGTTTGCCTGAAAAAGGATCATTATTGATGATGATGATGATGATAATGACGACGATGATGATGATAGTTTTTGTTCTTAGTTCGACTATTTATAAATAACGACTATTATTGATGATAGTGATGATGATGGTGATGATGATGATGGTGATGACGATGGTGGTGATGATGATAGTGATGATGATGGTGATGATAGTTATCGTTTTTGCTTTGGCTACAAAAAAAGTGTATATACACAGCGATCACTATTATTGATGATGATGATATTGATGAAGATGATAGTCATCGTTCTTATATTGAATATAATATATATATATATATATCGTAATTATTGATGTTGATGATGATGTTGATGATGTTGATGATATCGACAAAATCAAACGAATTAGGGTGGTTTTTTCCCCACCTGCCAGGTGAGGGTTGTTAGATTTTATGTCAGTTGCCTTCTCCTCTCCTCCTTTCCTCCTCTCCTCTCCTCCTCTCCTCTCCTCCTCCTCCTGCTCAACCGCGACCCTCGACGCACAGTGTTCTCTGTCGGACCTCAACCACGACCATCCACGCCCAGTGTTCCCTGCCGGACCTCAACCACGACCATCCACGCCCAGTGTTCCCTGCCGGACCTCAACCACGACCATCCCCGCCCAGTGTTCCCTGCCGGACCTCAACCACGACCAGCCGGACCTCAACCGCGACCATCCACGCCCAGTGTTCCCTGCCGGACCTCAACCGCGAGTATCCACGCCAAAAGATATGCCACATAGAGTGCCAGAAGATATGCCAGATAGAATGTTAGAAGATATGCCAGATAGAATGCCAGAAGGTATGCCAGATAGAATGCCAGATAGAATGTCAGATAGAATGCCAGAAGATATGCCAGATAAAGTGCCAGAATGTTTGCCAGATAGAATGCCAGCAGATTTGCCAGATAATATGCCAGAAGATATGCTAGATAGAATGCCAGATGGAATGCCAGAGGATTTGCCAGATAATATGCCAGAAGATATGCTAGATAGAATGCCAGATGGAATGCCAGAGGATTTGCCAGATAATATGCCAGAAGATATGCCAGATAGAATGCCAGATGGAATGCCAGAAGATATGCCAGAACATATGCCAGAAGATATGCCAGAAGATATGCCAGAACATCTGCCAGAAGATATGCAGGTAGAATGCCAGAAGATATGCCAGATAGAATGCCAGATCGAATGCCAGAAAATATGTCAGATAGAATGCCAGAAGATTTGCCAGTAACAAAATGTATAAATGTCTTAATGGTGGGGATCACACGAAGTAAAGTAATTGATAAGAGCATGGGTCAAGATCCAATATCCCCTGAAGGTCACCATGGAGCTAATGAGGATTTTGGGATGTCCTCCCCCCTACAAATGGCAAAGGCGGGGAGCCGTACTCGTGCCAGCAATATTTTTTGTTGATGCTTGTCCACTTTCGGTGATTCACCAGTTCTGGTGACGCAACCATGACCAGAGATCCAACACATGCAAAACCATACATATACTTAGACGGTCTAAATGCATCAAACATACAGCCTTGGGTGAATTTGGGTGCCTTATGGTTGATCGTGACGGTAAAGTGATCAGGCGGTTGTAACTGACATTATTAGCAACCCAATGGCACTGACAACGAAGTATCTCATCCTCCTACTCGCCAGCACCGTGTAAAAAACTTGCGGAATGTGTTGCATCTATTCATTTTTAGGTCCACGTAGATGCATGTTTGTTTCATGGGGGAGATATCATCGCTTCATCAAACATACTTAAGTTAGATCGAAATGGGCCATAAATGTCAAATGTTCCATGTGGTACACAACATGAATACATAAAGATAAACCATTGTGTGTAGACATTTAAATGTACAGCAGTGCAAACATATGTGCATACTGTAGGTCAAAACTCTAGCTCAAACGAAGACATAAACATCGGTATTCTTCTGACAAGTTTGTTTTGAGTGATGTGGATCTTTTGAGGAATGTTATATGTTTGAAATGACCAAGTCTGATGGTCAAAAGTGCCCATAAATGCCCATCCTGCCGCGATGACACGCAAGTCCTTTGGAATCAGAAATGCTTGCAAAAGGGCACTCTCTAATTTCCATCCACAGGGCAACCGACCAAACACTGACCCACTTTTCAGATCTTTTCAGGAGTTGAGTAAATACCAGCTTTATCCAGCTTTTGTTGCAGTGCAGTGGAGACCCAAACGTAAACCTGTTTAGGCACGAATACAACTGCAGCACTTCAACATGTCAATGGATTGGATTAAAAGAACATTTGCAAGAAACGTCAGGTGACGGTTGCTAGATTTTATGTCAGCTGTCCCGCCGCCTCCTTCTCCTCCTCCGCCTCGAGATCCACCGGACCTCAACTGCAAGCGCTATATCGCAGTGTTCCCTGCCGGATCCGAACAGCAAGCTCAGGATCAGAGTGATTCCTGCCGGACCTCCACTGCAAGCGCTTGATCGCAGTGTTCCCCGCCGGACCCGAACAGCAAGCTCAGGATCAGAGTACGTGTTCCCCGCCGGACCTTAACTGCAAGCGCTATAGGTCGCAGTGTTCCCTGCCGGACCCGAACAGCAAGCTCAGGATCAGTGATCATGCCGGACCTCAGCTGCAAGCGCTAGATCGCAGTGTTCCCCGCTGGACCCGAACAGCAAGCTCAGGATCAGAGTGTTCCCCGCCGGACCTTAACTGCAAGCGCTTGATTGCAGTGTTCCCCGCCAGACCAGACCAACAAGCTCAGGATCAGAGTGTTCCCCGCCGGACCTTAACTGCAAGCGCTATAGGTCGCAGTGTTCCCTGCCGGACCCGAACAGCAAGCTCAGGATCAGTGATCATGCCGGACCTCAGCTGCAAGCGCTAGATCGCAGTGTTCCCCGCCGGACCCGAACAGCAAGCTCAGGATCAAAGTGTTCCCCGCCGGGTCTTAACTGCAAACGCTTGATCGCAGTGTTCCCCGCCAGACCCGAAAAGCAAGCTCAGGATCAGAGTGATCATGCCAGACTTCAGCTGCAAGCGTTAGATCGCAGTGTTCCCGCCAGACCAGAACAGCAAGCTCAGGAGCAGAGTGATCATGCCGGACCTTAACTGCAAGCGCTAGGTCGCAGTGTTCCCCGCCGGACCCGACCAGCAAGCTCAGGAGCAGAGTGATCATGCCGGACCTTAACTGCAAGCGCTAGGTCGCAGTGTTCCCCGCCGGACCCGAACAGCAAGCTCAGGATCAGAGTGATCATGCCGTACCTCAGCTGCAAGCGCTAGATCGCAGTGTTCCCCGCCGGACCCGAACAGCAAGCTCAGGATCAGAGTGTTCCCCGCCGGACCTTAACTGCAAGCGCTAGATCGCAGTGTTTCCCGCCGGACCCGAACAGCAAGCTGAGGATCAGAGTGTTCCCCGCCGGACCCTCAACCATTATCCCGGCAAGAGACCCCAAACAGTGTGTGTGTGTGTGTGTGGGAGGATAATGTATGATAATGTGGATGATTATGGTGACGGTGATGATGATGATGATGATCATCATCATCATCATCGTCATCATCATGTTGATGATGATGAAGAGATGATGAGGAGGAGGATGACAATGTTGCGGACGATGATGTTGAGGATGATAATGTTGCGGAAGATGAGGTGGAGGGGGACGATGTTGCGAGGATGATGTTGCGGGAAATGTGAAGTATGATGATGCGGAGAATGATGATGTTGAGGAGGAAGAGGATGATACTGAGGATGCTGATGCGGAGGAGCGATCCCAAGACCGCGCTGCGTGTTTTGTGCAAGCCTGCGCCGTCTGTGTGGAAATTTACAGGAAAGTGCCGGAGTCCAGAACCAAGGTGCGAGCCTGCGCAGTTGGAATGCACTTCAACATGTCACAAGTGCCACTTCACACTGAAATTAGCTGAAAAAAAGCCACGCCCCAGATTGAGCCCAGATTGCAGGCACACACATTGTGCGAGACTGCGCGGTCGAAATGCACGTCAACATTCCACAAGGGCCACTTTATACGGAAATTTACAGGAAAATTGCCGCGCCCCAGATTAAGCCCAGAACGCAGACACACTCTTTGTGCCAGCCTGGGCAGTCGAAATGCGCGTCAACATTTCACAAGAGCAACTTTATTCGGAAATTTACAGGAAAAATGCCGCGCCCCAAAACCGCGCGCAGACTTTGTGCAAGCCTGCACAGGTGACATGCACTTCAACGTTTCACTAGAGCCACTTTACACAGAAATTTACCGGAAAAAAGTGCCGCGCCCCAAAACCGCGGCGCAGACTTTGTGCAGCCTGCGCAATCAAAAATACGGAAATTTACAGGGAAAATGCCGCGCCCCAGAGAGAGCACCCTGATCAAGCACCGGCCTTTACACCGTAAGAACCCCTCAGTGTGGACACGCGTTTGCGGAACATATGCCAGATAGAATGCCCAAAAAAATGTCAGAACAAATATGCCAGATGAAAATGCCAGAAAGAATGTCAGATAGAATGCCAGAAGAGATGCCGGAAAGAATGTCAGAATAGAATGTCAGAATGCCATAATAAAATGTCAGAAAATAAATGCCATATATACTTCCGGCTCCAAGGGGCCTCCTACCCAGAAGACGACTTTCTGGCCTTGCAATCTCCTGAAGAAGTCACTCCATTGCCTCAGCGGCGCCAACCACCCGGGCCGCCAGGGACAATCCCCCAGAAACCATGGCGGTTAAAAAGGGATTTATGGATTTATGCATAGTCGGGACCCGCCTTGGAGGAACATTAGGTGGATGGTATTAGCTCATTGGATTGAAATATCAAACATCATCATGTTTGTTGTTCGGTGAAGAGTTGGTAGGGTTCATTTTTCTAACACCCCCAGCACAATGGCAACAGTTCCTCTATAGTATAGTATTGCGATTTAATATCTACCCAGTCGGTTTTCCAAACTAATGCCAACCCCGGACTACAAAAACCCTGGGCTGTTAAATTGGGTCCCTTTTAGTAGCAAAGTTTCACTATTTAGGCCCCCCCATAATCAATTAATCAACCAGCGTTTGTCATACATACATTCTGCTTACCAATTTTGGCCAGTCATTCCGAATTCAGACAGTTGTCATAAGTTGTCGTGGTTACAAGTGGGATCAGTAAGGTTCATCCACGTAAAAAACGTGGTTATTGTAACATGTTATACTTGCTCAGTAGGGTGAACCACCAACTATAGTTGATCATTCATTGTCCCTCTTTTTGTTTCGTCCATTGCACAGTTCAGGCAACCGTGATGGACTGTTTCTTGGTCCCAAAGGACGAACATAAAAATAATAAAATAGAACCAGTGAAAACCCAGATGTCGCTGGAAAAAAAAACGCGTTTTATGGCGGGGAAAGGGACCAAATTTGATGTTTGTCGATTCTGAATATTTACTATTTACTCTACGGTTGTTAGGTTGAATCTGGGAGTTGAACATTTCTTCTTCTGCTGATTCTCAGCGTCCTGCAACTCAGTCATCCTGCCTGGCTCCTGAGCTGTGGCCTCATCTCGATTGCTTGCAGTTCTCGGAGGACATGCTCAGCCAGCAGGGAGGTCAGCGATGATATCGAATATGCTCTGGCACAGCCATGCGCCAATGCATCTCTCAGTGAGGCTGGATCCTTGCGCACAAATGCCTTCATGATCATCAGGGAGTCGTTGTTGCCAATGTTGGGATGTAAGATGTCAACCGCCAACTCGGCTTTTTGCTGGGAATCTTGGGAATCTTGAACAATCTTCTGCCCGCCAAAAACAGCAGTTGATCTTCTTAGATGTGGGGGTGCCAAAAACTGCTCCACTGGTCCTGGCATCGCAAAACCTCTGACGAATGGGGATGCAGCAGATCCAAGTAGACGCACCGAACACCATTTGGACCGGACCTGCTAAATCTTGGCAGGTCCAAGTAGCTGCTAAAACACTAAGTTTTATGGTAGATGGCAGGTCCAAGTAGATGCTAATCTTGGATACCTCCAACCAATTCATTTCTTTGCTGGGTTGGTCATTTGGTCAATCTTCCCTCAGATTTGCCCCAGGATAAATGGGGAAATAATGACCTACCCATCTGAGGAATTCTGCTGAGTGTGTTCCCGTGCATAAATTACCCATCTAGTAGCACCCAGAAAAGCTAGAGGGGAAATCTAACAGCATTTCAGTGGGATTTCACTTTTTGGCATTTCTTTTGGTAAACATGTATATTAAATGCACGATCTTCTTGGTTGCATGGTAAACACCATGATATTACTGCTTGGTTGTTTACCTACCCCCTCTGAAAAATAATCAGTTGGGATGATGAAATTCCCAATATATGGAATGATAATCCATTCATGTTCCAAACCACCAACCAGTCACTAATATTCCATTACCAGAGGCCTCATCACCATTAAATCACCATTTATATCCCTATTAAATCACCATATCTCCCTATGTTACACAACCGACTTCGTCAGTAGTACTCACCGATTCATATGGCCTCTCGTTGCCGTTCAGCTGGAGAATCCCCATGAGCAACTAGCTGTTCGATGACCCGAGAAAAAAACGTGGCGCCCATAGGAAAAACCATAGGAAACCCATAGGAAAATGGGGATTTCATGGGATTTATAGCTGATTTATGATAGCTAAGTTGGTGCACATAACTTCAATAACTATGGTTCATGATACGTATAACCATGGGGTTATAAACCAACTTATAACTGGGGGGCCCCACATTGTAGAGGCTACCTGGCACACACCGAAAACAACGCCAAGTTTCTGGAACTTCTGGGCCTGAGTGCGTTCTGTCCAACCTGAGCGATGATTCGCTTACCTCGTCACGGTTTACGACCTGGATAGATTACTGTGGCCATATAAATGTATATAAATGTATGGTACATGTTCTATCTATAAATATATGGTATACGGTATATGTACTTCTCACCATGGCGATGTTATGATACATGTTTAAATATATGAGAAGTCAGATGGCCCCCGGGAAGAAGAGCTCCAGCTGCTTAGCATATACGATAATGTGATAAACCAAATACCATACCAAATACCACACCCCAATGACTCACCAGAAATGGATTGGATGATTACTTCAGAAATGGGTAAATCATGGTAAATCACATTCAATGACCATCCGGTGGGTTCACCCAGTTGCAAACTGCTCTTGACATCATTTGCTCAAACCAATGGAAGGTGAGTGGTCATTGGACCTGAAAGTGAAACCATCCTTTTGGATTCATAAACCACAGAACTTTGGTTGGGGCATAGAACAGCAGATCCTGCAAAACCACGAATCAAGAGTGCTCGCACCACCCCAGTTACAAGGGGAGTTGGCTAAGTTAAGCGGTAAAATTACAAAAAATACCTCAGTTGTCACTAAAGTAGGTACCTACAATAGGTTGAGGCAAACCTGAATCAAATCCACAGTCATCCAATTATAATATCGTTTGTGGATGTTTGTGGGTTGTATGGTCATATATATGGCCATATCCCAATTTTAGTTGATAAGTCTCCCAAGAATTGTGGGTCATATCCCATGATATCCCAGCATACATATTTCCACGAACTCCCATGATTACAACCTGATGTAATGGGAAACATCAGATAGCTCCAACTTGTCATTGGGTTCATAGTTCTGCCCATTCTAGCCCCATTGTATCCCATTAATGTTGGCAAAACAATCATAGACCATCCCTCAAATCACCATCTTTATAGGTGATATAAACCATTCCCAGTCATGGCTGGTTTATGGCAACCAGATTCATATTCCGATGCACGCCCAAGTAGTTTCTGGTACTGTTTCTCTCCACCGGAATTAGATCCTGCGAGCGACGACCACTTGCATCATTTCCAAAGTAGCTGATGCACACTTTGTCCTGAGCCACGGACAAACCTCTTAGATTCTCTTCTCCTTACATCAAGTACTTCCCAAATCAAAATGCAAGAAAAAAATATGAATGCCAAGTTCGTATTAATAATCCCCAGAAGGTCTAGGGTCTAGATCCATGAGAAGGTCTAAGAAGGTGAAATCACCTCCAAAGACTGTAATGAGAAGCAAAACCAAAAATGGGATTCACGCTTTCAATCCATTGGCTTTCCATTAGTTTTCCATTGGTTTTTGAATCGGAAAAATAACATTTTCCAGAAGGGCGTTGTTTAATAGGAGGTGACCACCCATGTTGATTAATAGGGAGGGACCAACCCAAATTGCCAAACAATTCTTGGAATGCGGGTGTTGATTGGTTTGGGGATGCTCATTAATATGAACCTAACATTATCCATTTCTTTATTCACTTGTATTTATGTGATATAATATCACTCCAGCACGCTCTATATCTCTATCTAGTTTGCTTTAATCTGAGGAAAATATTGCGGGAAACGCTTTGTGCTGACCAATGCCATTCAGAAAAAGAGCGCGAACCAACATGATGATTATATATTATGTAAGTAATTTGCATATATAGTAATTAGGTATATATAAATATATATTTACACATACATATATATATATTTACACATACATATATATATGTTAATATGTGTATACAGTGTGTATATATATATATATATATATTCATATGTGTGTGCATACAACGCCAACATGATGGCGTATACAGAAAAAGGTCGGAGCTATATATATATATATATGTGTTATATACATGTACAAATTATACACACATAATCACATATATCTGATGTGGTATAGTAAAACACAATATGGTATGGTACAATATAATAACATAAAACCCAGTATAATACAAACAACATATATTTCAAGAATAAAAACCATATAATATAATTTATAATATTCAAACACATATTGCAATTTAATAGCAGATCATATCAAACAATATCCCATATATCTTTCCTTTTTTGGATTCTTTGGGGGTTGGCGGCCTTTCTTCTTTTGGAGGAGCTACGTCTCTGTCCCAAGATTTTTTTTTTCGCAGGGATCGCTAGGTCATGGTGGGTCATACTAGAAAATTTCAAGATTCAAGACAGACGCATGTGTTCAAAATAGGGAGTTGGGCATTCATTTTCAAAACATGCTGCAATTTTGAACCAGCAAACACATATCCCAACTGGGAGCAACCGCTCTTTAAGTATTGCAAACAACAGGGAACTGGGCACGTATTTAACCAGCAACACCCGAGGTATGAGTATCTGTCTTTGCACAGTACTTGCATCTTTTTGGCGCTAAAGTCTCACATTCGCATGGTATTTCAGAAGTTTCAGCTGAAGTGACTCATTTGCAATGTACTTGCGGCATTTTATGTGAACAACCCTCATATAGGCTGATTTGCAGCACGTGCAAGACAATATGGGCAACATGAATCAACATGATACATTTGACATGCACAAAAACACCGGGCATCTATAAGCCGTGGTCCAACTACCCTTCGCAAACAAAGGTTTACGCAAGAAATCAGCAGAGCATGTTCTGCAGTATGGCGTCATTATTCGGCTGGCTAGGGTAGGTAAGAAATCAGATGTATCCCCAATAAAATTTGGGTAGGAAATTGTTTGAGATGTTCTTCTTCTAGTTAGTTTAGTTTTCTTAATTTATGGCTGTGCATGCTTTGCATGCTATTTGCGGTATTTGCGAGCTGGAACCTTCGGTTTTGCATTCTGTTTGCAACATTTTGGAACTGGAATCTTCCTTTTTGAATGCTATTCGCAATATTTTGGAGCTGCAGCCTGCAGCCTTCCATTTTGACTGCTATTTGCATCTATTTGCATTTTTGTTGAGCTGGAACCTTCCATTGAGCATTGTTTTTGCAACGTTTTGGAGCTGGAATCTTCCATTTTGGATGGTATATGCAACTTGCTGTTGGTTGTTGGCTGTTGTTTGTTGTTATTCTTGTTGCAGTTGTGGTTGTTGGAACTCAAGTAATTGTTGCGGTATTTGTAGTAGATGTGCTAGTTGTAGTAGTTGTGGTAGTTGCATCTGTAGCTGCTGTTGCTGCTGTTGGTGGTGGTGGCTATCGTCAACACCAATGGAACCATGAAGTCAAGAAACCGTAAAAACTTTAGCCAAGACAACAGAAAACTGTCGAAAGCATCAAAACCAAAAAACTGAGAAACAAAACGCATATATATATAAATATGCATATATATATGCATATATATATATGCATATATATATGCATATATATATATGCAAATATGTTTACATATATATATATACAAATATATATATATATATGTATATATACATATATATATATATGTATATATACATGTATAAATAAATACATATGTATATATACATATATATATATGTATATATACATATATATAAATACATATGTATATACAGTATATATATATGTATATGTATATATATTTATAAATATTGATATATACATATATATATACACACATATATATGCATATAAATAAATATATATATATATATACATATACATATATACTGTATATACATATCATACATATAAGTTATTCAATGGTAAACCACTTGGCGGCAGCAACTGCAAAGGCGCCGCGCGGTTTTGCTTGAGCCAAATGTACAACATGTTACATTGATGTGAGACAATGACGGTTCATGACACTACACTTGAGGAATGTCTTTACATAGTGTATATGTGTCAAACACCTCCCCCCTCATTTTGAGAAGTGAGTGTGGAACCAAAAGCCTCTCACTACACTTTTGTTCTGATGCACAACAACTGAATCAGACGTTCCCATGACATGGGTGCAACAACTTTGGTCATGCCATCTGCTGCTTGCTCTCCAGTTCCCACATGTTCTGGTTGCATGCCTCGTTGCTGGATGAGGTCAGCCAAACTGGCGACATCTATCCTGTGAGTGCGGGAAGCATGTCTCAGACGCACTGAGTACCCAGAATGGAGAATGGATAGTGTGGCAGCATTGTCTTCTAGCAACCTCATGGTGATGTCGCGCCCAACGAGCTGCTGCAGCAAGTCAAGGAGCGGCTGTCCCTCTGAGTAGATGGCTCCAGCCATGGAGATGATTTCTGCCTCTGTTGTCGAACGAGCGACTGACGTTTGGCGTCGCGAGTTCCATGCGATCGGCCAACGCGAAGCTCCAGAAGAGAGAAAAATCATCATGCCGGACGTTGATCGCGCAGTATGCACGCATGACGCTAGGTCTGCGTCTGCATATACATGCAGTTCTGTTTCACTGAGTGCGCCAGCCTGACATATCATCTGATATTCCTTCGTCCAGTGCACATATGAGACCAAACGATGAAGGTGAATGTCTTCAGCTCGGCTCCAAACTGTGATCCTGCTCGCCAGCCTGCCTACTGAAAAACAAATGTCTGGTCGACAAAGCCTTGCCAACCAGAGACCCTTCATCAGCACCTTTGATGCATGTGGTTTCATGGATCCTGGTTGTTCGTACAAAGCGTCAGCTAGCGTGCTATCATTGATGTGAGGAGTAGCAACCTTACGCAATGATTTCGGATCAACACCAGTGATTTCGAGATATAACTGCACGAATTGATCAGCATATCCAACCATGGACATAACTATGGTTTGTGGGGTTTCAAGTTCATGCAAACGACCCAAAATGAGCACTGCATTGTTTGGAAGCAAGGTTTGCGGATCCTCGATCTTGATGAGTTCAGAAAACCGCTGCCAAAACTTGGTATGCAGATGCGAAGCTCCTGATAGTGTCAGGTCATCGACATAAATGTTGAGAAGCATTCTGTGGCCATCAAGGTTAAACAGAAAGTTGCTAGGGAACCCCTGGATTTGTTGAGCTCCAATTCTGGAAATCCGGGTCTCCAAAAACTCTTGCCATAGGCGGCCAGCCTGCGGATGTCCGTATAAGGACTTTCGAAGCCTCACGGCAACTTTGCCATTGAATTTGGATTTCCACTGGCTCAGCCACAATTGCCGTGGCAAAATAACGAACGTGAGCTCATCTTCAGGAAGGTAGCTCTGCAAGAATGCTTGCACTGCGCCTGCAGTTGATGTAGCATGCCTTTCAAGGGCGCCCCACCATAGGCAAACATTCAGGGCTATCAGTGTAGTTGGTGATGTGGATACTTCAGTGAAGAGAACGATGTCCCCATTTTGTGTAAACACTTTGTCACCCCTGTATACAATTCTTCCCTTATATTTATGTTTGGATTCATCAAGTTCAGCGTGCTTGATACTGCACAAAACCAAAAGTTCAGCAATACGAACATTCTGACCTAAGGCGTTTGATTGATATATCAACTGATCAAGATCACAAACTGTCGAATCATCCCATGTCTCGTTGGAGCGTAGTCCTTGGCACTCTTTCTCGATGGCTGCCAAAGCACGTGGATCTGTGCTCCACTGGCTACGATTGAGTGCCTTGGTCACTAAACCAAATGCCTGTACATCAGTTCCAAGCTCATCACAGTGATCCTGTTCTTGGGCTGGCTGACAACCTAGAGCTGGGATGTGTGACGAATAGAACTGCTTAGGAAATAAGGCTTCGGCAACAAGGTTCACAAATGGGATGGTGTAAAATGCGGTTTTAGCAGCATTGCCTCCCTCACATGGCTCATGTTGCTCTGCTGTGTGGTTGCACTGCATTTCCGCAAACAACTCAACGATTCTACGATCATTGGTGGCCAACATCCATGGTTTCTTCAATAACCTGTTTTGTTTGCCCTTCAGCTGGAGCATACACCCATGAAACTGCACCATCATGAGCTGGTGCCGCCTGCAAAATTCGACGAGGTTTGGAAGTCGCCATCCTTTGCAGTAGGTCGGCCATTCCCAGACGAAGCGACCATTGTGAATGATCACATATTCCCCAACCTGTAAAGCTAAATCCACCATGTATGAGGAGTCCTCCTGTTTTTGGGTGAGATCATTCAGAAAGGATTCCCCAAGGCGGTGAATGTTGAGTT